TTTGATCTCTAGTGCCTCTGCCTCTTCGAAATCCTGCCTGTATTTCTGGTAGTTCTCGGTCCACATACTGCTGGAGCCTAGCTTGTAGGATTTTGAGCATCACTTTGCTAGCGTATGAAATGAGTGCAATGGTATGGTAGTTTGAACATTCTTCGGCATTGCCCTTCTTTGGGATTGGAATGTAAACTGACCTTTTCCAATCCTGTGGCCACTGTTGAGTTTTCCAAATTTGCTGGCATATTGAGTGTAGCACTTTGAATAGCTCAACTGGAATACTGTCACCTCCACTAGCTTTGTTGTTGCTCAGACTTCCTAAGGCCCATTTGACTTCACATTCCAGGATGTCTGGCTCAAGGTCAGCGACCACCCCATCGTGGTTATCAGGGATGTTTAGCTCTTTCTTGTACAGTTCTTCTGTGTAATCTTGCCATCTCTTTTTAATCACTTCTGCCTCTGTTAGGTCCCTGCCATTTTGATCCTTTATCATGCCCATCTTTGCATGAAACGTTCCCTTCATATCTCCAATTTTCTTGAAGAGATATCTGGTCCTCCCTATTCTATTGTTTTCTTCTATTTCTTTGCACTGTTCATTGAAGAAGGCATTCTTATCTCTTCTAGCTATTCTCTGAAATTCTGCATTCAATTGGGTGTATCTTTCTCTTTCTCCCTTGCCTTTCGCTTCCCTTCTTTCCTCAGCTATTTGTAAAGCTTCATCAGACAGCCATTTTGCTTTCTTGCATTTCTTTTTCTTTGGGATGGTTTTAGTTGCTACCTCTTGTACAATGTTGCGAACCTCTGTCCATAGTTCTTCAGGCACTCTGTCTATCAGATCTAAGTCCTTAAAACTATTTGTCACCTCTTCTGTATATTCTTCAGGGATATGATTTAGGTCATACCTGAGTAGCCTAGTGCTTTTCCCTACTTTCTTCAATTTAACCCTAAATTTTGCAACGAGAAGCTCATGATCTGAGCCACAGTCAGCTCCTGGTCTAGTTTTTACTGACTGTATAGTTCTTCTCCATCTTTGGCGGCAGAGCACATAGTCAATCTGATTTCTGTGTTGACCGTCTGGTGATGTCCATGTGTAGAGTCGTCTCTTGGGTTGTTGGAAAAGAGTGTTTGCTATGACCATCATATCCTCTTGACAAAATTCTACCAGCCTGTGCCCTGCTTCATTTTGTACTCCAAGGCCAAACTTGCCAGTTATTCCAGTTATCTTTTAGCTTCCTACTTTAGCATTCCAATCCCCCATGATGATGAGGACATCATTTTTGGAGTTAATTCTAGAAGGTGTTGTAGGCCTTCATAGAACTGGTCAACTTCAGCCTCTTCCGCACCACTGGTTGGGGCATAGACTTGGACTACTGTGATGTTGAATGGTTTGCCTTGGATTCGAACTGAGATCATTCGGTCATTTTGGAGATTGTATCCCAGTACTGCTTTTCCTACTCTTTTATTGACTATGAAGGCTACTCCATTTCTTCTGAGGAATTCTTGCCTGCAGTAGTATACCTGATGGTCATCTGAATTAAATTCACCCATTCCTGCCCATTTTAATTCACTGATTCTTACGATGTCGATGTTCAGTCTTGTCATCTCTTGTTTGACCAAGCTTGCCTTGATTCATGAATCTTACATTCCAGGTTTCTATGGTGTATAGATCTTTACAGCATTGGACTCTCCTTTCACCACCAGATACATCTGCAACTGAGTGTCCTTTCAGCTTTGACCCAATTGCTTCATTCTTTCTGGCGCAACTAGTACTAGCCCTCTGCTCTTCCCCAGTAGCACATTGGACACCTTCTGACCTGAGGGGCTCATCTTCCGGCGACATATCTTTTTGCCTTTTCGTACTGTCCATGGGGTTTTCATGGCAAAGATACTGGAGTGGGTTGCCATTTCCTTCTCCAGTGGATCACGTTTTTGTCAGAACTCTCTGCTATGACCTGTCCGTCTTGGGTGGCCCTGCACGGCATAGCTCATAGCTTCACTGAGCTATGCAAGCCCCTTCGCCATGACAAGGCAGTGATCCATGGAGAGTCGTATAGAGTGGTAATAATACCTCTCTCGATCTAGAAGCCACACTTCTGGCTATGCAACCAAGGGTGGCGTTCACCCTCTTGACCACTGCATCACACTGCTGACTCATGTTTAGCCTACAGTAAACCAGTACCCCGAGGTCCCTTTCACAAGTCCCTTTCACAAGTGCTGCTCTCCAGCCACTTGTCCCCTGACAGAGCCCTGGGGGACACCAGTTGTCATTGGCCACCATCCCGATGATTCCCCCCTAATAGTTACCCTCTGCTTTCAGTCCATCAGCCATGCCCTAATCCATTGGACAGTGCATGGGTCTATCCCAAACCCCCTCAATTTCTAAACCAGGATATCATGCAGCACTTCATTAAAGAACTTGCTTAAATCCAGGTAAACCACATCCACCATGTCCCCTCCATCTAGCCACCTCGAAACCTTGTCATAAGGTTTGTCTGGCAGGACATATTTTTGTGGAAGCTGTGTTGCGTGGTCGCCAACCTCCCTTCCTTATCTAGGGTTACTAGATCTCTTGCTATTATGAGTCTCCGTTGTCTTTCCTAGAATGGACGTAAGCCTAACCCATCAGGGTCCAGCACCTTTGTAACATCCAGCGCCCTGAGGAGCTCCTCATCTTCTGGAGGAGTGACTTTAATCTGTTCCCCTAAATCCCTGGTCTCATATGGTTCCCCATGTAGCTCTCCCCTGTCCTGCTTTGGAGAGAACACAGAGGCAAAATAGTCATTTAGCATCTGTGCCTGTTCCCTCATATCAGTCACTGGATCTCCTTCCTCCTTATTTAGTGGTCCCACCACTTGTCTCCTCTTCCTCCTCCTATTTACATGCTGAAAGAAGCCCTTTTTGTTGCTCTTGATATTCTTTGCAAGTCTCCGCTCGTAATCAGCCTTAGCCTTGTGAAGAATCCTTCTGCAATAGGCCTCCTACCCGTGGTATACCCTTTTGTCTATTTGCCCCAGTGCCCATTTTCTATGGAGGTTCCTCTTACAGCTAATCCTTCTTACCTCCTCTTTTGGCATCCATGGCGGCACTCTCCTTCACCTCCCCACCTTGCTAACTAGGGGCATCATCAAGGCTTGAGCCTCCAAAACCTCCCTTTTGAGTGCCATCCATCCCTCCTCAACTCGCTTACCTTCCAGTAACCTATCCCAGGAGATTTTCCCCAGTCTGGTCTTCAGTTGGCCAAAGTTGGCCCTCTTGAAGTCCCAGCTTCTAGTACTCAACCTGCCATTCGTCCCCATTCCCCTGATCTCAAAGCAAAGGATGGAGTGACCACTCACATCCAGAGCTCCCCTAATCTGCACCCCATCTATCAGCTCCTTCCTGTTGGTCAAAACCAAGTCAAGGATACCCCCCACACACACCTCTCAGACCCTCCACGTGAAAAACCCTCCTTCTATAGCTTCTAAGAAGCGATGTGACCTGGTCGCCACTGCCGAGTGAGACTCTTAACTAATATCTGGGAGACTGAAATTTCCCATAATTACTGTGTCCCTCCCCTGAGATATCCTTTGTATCTGGCCTGTCAGGACATTATCCAGGGTCTCAAGTTGACTTGGCAGGCGATAACATAGCCCCACTGTCAGGTCCCTTTCCCTGTCAAAACCCCTAAGTTTCACCCAGACTGCCTCTACCAGATCCCCTTCTGCACTGCATTCTATTTCATTGCATCCTATCCCTTCCCTGACATAATAACACTACGCCCCTCCCCTCTTTCCCTTCCTGTCCTTTCTAAACAAGTGATACCCCTCTATGATTACCTTCCAGTCTTGCCTTTCATCCCCGAACGTTTCCATGATCCCCACTAGGTCATACCCTCCTATTCCCAGGAGAGCCTCAAGCTCTTCCTGCTTATTACCAATGCTCCTAGCATTGGTGTACATACTTTTCTATGCTTCATGAATTAATAATATAAGCTTATAATCAGCATTGCAAGATTAAACCAGTCAATCTTAAAGCAAATCAACCCTAACTGCTCTTTAGAAGGCCAGATACTGAAAATGAAACTCAAATACTTTGACCACCTAATGAGAAGGAACAATTCATTGGAGAAGTCCCTGATGCTGGGAATGATTGACGACAAAAGAAGGGGACAGCAGAGGATGAGGTGGCTAGATGGAGTCACTAGGGCAGTGGATGTGAGCTTGGGTGGACTCCGAGGGATGGTGGAAGACAGGAGAGCCTGGAGGAATTTTGTCCATGGGGTCGTGATGGGTCAGGTACAACTTTGCAACTAAACAAAACAAAAAAATAATCAACATGAAGATTGTGGCCCAGGGCCCAAGTTCAGAGAGCACCCCTATCAAGTCTTCTTGCAGCCAAACACAACCCATTTAAAGCAAGAATGGATCCACTGACTGGTACATGCATCTGGCTGTCTTTAGGGCTCCAGAAGACACTTTTCTGCTTTTGACCCTCTTGAATGCTGTGAAAAGTGCTTCAGATAGTTTAAGGACAGACAGAGGCTCAACTTCAAGTCTGTGTGGAAGACTACAATAGGCCAACATAAAGGGAAGCACCCTGCTGAATCAGGCTACCCTGGTCTAGTGCTGTACCTCATTCCCTGCAATGGCAACCAGGTGCCTGAAAAAAGAAGAAGAGCAGCACATGAGGACAGCCGTTGTCACCTCTCCTTGCTCACTGGCTGAGGCAGACTGCCTCTGAACATGGAGGTTCTGCTGAGCCATCCCGATGGTGTAAACTGGTGTCCTGCAGCAGCAGGGGGTTGGCTCGGTGGCCTCCTTGGCCCCTCCCAGCCCTACTATTCTGTGACTCTATGCACCCCTCCCGCTGGGCTTTCCCAGATCCTATTTTAACGCCAACTAAGTGAGTGGCCATCAGCACTGCACACAGCCACACGGCCCCTTAAGTACTCAGCATCTGCTCAGCGACACTTTCGTTTCTGCTCCAGAGACAGAGAAAGCACACGCTGTGTAAACAGGCTGTCCTACCCATGCAACGGAACGAGGCATCTATGAGGTGGCAGATGAGGCTCTACGACCCCCTCAGATGTCCGAATTAATAAAATGCTTCATGACGAGGCAACGCCTAGTAGCGAAAGCTCTTCGACGGCTCAGCTAAAGAGAGACCTGCAAACGGAAAGCGGGCACACTCGGAAAGGCGCCCTGCTGCGCCAGCTTTCCACCTGCAGGGAGGCTGGGACGGGAAGGGTCCGCAAAGCCGGCGCCGCAGTCCGATGGCCGCGCGGGTGGCTCTCCTCCCGCTCCCGCTCCCGCTCCCGCCCCCTTCCCCAAACCCACACCTGGACCGAGTGGGGGACGCGGACGACCTCCGCGGCTGACTCTCGCCGGCGGCCGGGGCACCAAGAGAGCCGCCCGCCCCCATCCACGGGCCACGCACTCACCGCGGGCGGACCACGCTCGCTCCGCAGCTCTTCCTCATCCGGGCACCGCGGCGCGAGGGACCATCACTCCCTTCTCTCTATGGTGCGCGAGCTCCCCGGATGAGGAAGCGGGCCGGCCATAGAGAGGCGGGAAGAGCGGCGCGATGTCGCAGCGACCGGAGCTGGCGGCGGCGGCGGCCCACTCAGGTGAAGAAAGCACGCCGGGCCGGGCCGGGCCGGGCCGGGGTTCCGCTTACCTTTGGCGGTCCCGGGAAGGGCCTGGGCCGCGCTGGCGCCGGCGCCTCCCCACGGGTGCCCGCGGACCTCGCTTCGGGGGGGGCGCGCGGGTCACGAGCAAGTATTTCGGGGATCCGAGTCCGAGCAAGTTAATGAATTAGGGAATTAATTAAGTACTTGGAATTCTCCCCCGCGCAGGGCTCTGGGTGAGTCACCTTACTATGCCAGGCTCCCTCAGTCATGCGCCGTCGCAAAGACTCCAACTCCCATCATCCCCGGTCGGTTCGCTCGTTGGTCAAGGTGGCTGGGAATGATGGGGCCCTTTCCAGACGGGGCTCAGGCTCTGGCTTGGGGAGCCCTTTGTATGGGCCCGGCCAGCCTGAAGGCCCGGAGGCAGCCTCCTTGGGAGAGTGCTCGTCGCTGATGTGGAGGGATTGCACGGTGGTCCCCGGGCTGAAGCCTGGGCTGCTGCCCGGGGTGAGCAGGAGAAGTGGCAAGGAACCGATGGAGAGCAGGCGTGGGGAGCTCCCACAATAGCCACCCCCACAGAAAGTCTTTGGCTTGTTAGGAGAACTGCTAGGGCTGGCAACTCTTGAGGAGACCCTGTTTATCCTGTTCTGGCAAGGCAGTGACTGGTGTTTGCCCTGGGGAGGGAAGAGAAAGGGAGGAATGGCAACAGGATCATCTGGAAGTGACATGTGATGTCTGTCAAGACCTTGAACATAGGATGCCCTGACTGCCTATATTTCATTTGGAGGTGGGATATGTCCACCTGCAGGCTGAAGTGGAGATAGATCTACATTCCCCTTATACCTGGCATTTCTCCATGAGTTTTCCTGCTCTCCTTTTTGGCTGTGGGTGTTCTGAATACGTAACCCATGGCGGGGGGGTTGTATCCTTCACCCTTTCTTTAAAGGATTCAGATCAGTGTATATAGGGATTATCCCATCTTATTCTCATGCTGATTCCAACAAAACTGCAACTTTTCCAAAGCTTCCCTTTTCACTGACTTGGTGTTTCAGGGCAGGGACCTTCCTGGTTCAACTCCTGATCAGCTTCCCTTAATATTGCAGTGAATAGTGCATATTTGCATGTTGAAGCTCTTGAGACTTTTGGACCAGAACCTTAACTTTTCCATGGAAGCCTTTCTTGTTCAATCTTCTCCACCAGATGAGTTCCTGCATTGGGTGAAGCAAGTCAGGAACTAGAAGAGGTCAGCAAGAAATAAACTCTGGAGAAAGGGCTCAGCAGCAGGTGCTCTGAAGAAAGGATGGATAGTAGAGAGGGGGAAAGCCATGTGATGTTACAAAGGCTTTGACTTCCGGTAGCCTAGAAAAGCAAACATTGGAAAGCTCGAGATGATTTTCCTTGTCTTGGTTGTCTTGCTCAGTATTGTCCTTTTTAATTGTAAAAGGTGGTGAATCCAGCGCTCCTGATGCTTTCTGCTTGTGGTGTGTCCTTGGAGCAAACACTTTTTGATGCTTTCGATTCCTGTGGTACAAGAGCTCTGCCCCACTCTGCCAGCCGCCCTCTCCACCGAAGTTACCACCCGGTCAAGTCCAGCTGTAGTCCTTCGTGCAAAACCTGGAGCATCAGCGCTTGTGCTCTCCTGTTGTCAGCTGCCATCTAAGCACCAAAGAACTCATGGGTTGAAAACCTGTCCCCGGGATTCTGTGGAAAGGCTGGATTGCACAGGCAAAATGTCTTGCCCTGAACACATGGACATCGTTTTGGAAGATCCTGCAGAAGCAGGAAGGCTCGTTATGGATGATAAGACACAAAACAGGATGTTAATGGAACTCAACCTTTTACCAGAATGTTTGAGTAAAGATGCAACAATGGCAAAAGACACGGGAGATGTTGCTAAGGAAGACCTCATGCAGTGTCCTCTAACCGTGAAAGAAACCTGTTGGTCAAAAGAGGTAAAATTTGGAGCTCCTTGAAATCAGTTAGAATTCCAGAATCGGGGGTGCATCCCCATACAGTTGAAGCAAGCTGGGAGTGGTCGGATTTTTTTGCTGCCCAAACTGACATAAGATGGTGCCCTGCATTTCTTAGCCTTCATGAAACTTTCCTCTGGTTGTTTTTGCTAAAACAGGCCAATATGGCTCTTTACAGAGCTTAAGTTAAAGTGGAGAAAAAAATGGGGAATTCAGATATCTGAAGGAAAGAGAAAATTCATTTTACTTTAACACCAGCTGCTTCCTCTTATGTCAATGTTTAGGAAGACAGTTTTATATAATTGCCTTATATCAAGCCCTGATAAAAATTGATTTATAAATGGAATGGTTCCAAATAATTCTGTGATATATTAGTAGTGTGATGCAGATATGGCTGATTTAAAACATGTATTATGGAGGTATCCATCTACCAAAAATTACTGAAGGCGTATCATTCGATATATTGAACTGGTTTGTCCCTATGATCGCTGTTTTAACAATGGGTAGCTGTGGCCTCACAGGGATGAGTGAGCTTGCTGTCCCCCAACTGCTTTTGATTGTTGCGTTGATAAACAGCCAAACCCATAGTTCTAGCCCAACAACACCCCATGGGAGTGCATTATTGGGGGTGCAATTCTATTGTGCTGAAATACAACATGAACAGCTAGCTCACCACTGCATGTTTGTTCTCCCCTTTTACTCTTTGTATCCTTATTTCATCTTGAAATTTTATTTTGTGAAAATTCACAACACCTGTTTGTGATAGTGTGAATAAGCATTATTTTTATGTGTGTTGAACTTTATGCAAGCTATTTTTAAAAAGATCAAAGGGATAAAATTGTTGCTACACATCAGCTGAAGGCCAAACTGTGAGGAGTTCCCAATGCTGCTCCTTAATTATTTAATGTTGTAGATCTGCAGAACAAATGGCAGTTTGAAGGAGAAGAGGATTTTGATCCAGGAAACCTTGTATATGTGGCTGCACATACTCACACTAAAGGAAATTGCAGCTCTTCCCATGACTTTGTGTGAAGGGGTTGTTAGATCCAAAAAACTAATCCTGTGCAATCTGCAGTTTGGATCTGATCCTTCCTCTGGTTTGAGATTATGGGCATGCTGAAAAAGATCATTCACTGTGGTTTTTGCTGTCGTAATAGCCAAACGACAGATGTTTGCTTCCTCCTCAAAGGCCCTCTCTACTGCTGGTAGATCTGTCCTCACTTGCAGGAAGCCTCCATATTGGAAAGACATAAAAACAGGGCCAGACCCAGTGATGAGCCCTGGTTCCAACCTGCCCCCATATCTGCTGAAGTCATAGGAGACAATAAGGCACAGCAGTGCCACACCACCTGCTTTTCGTCTGATGTGATGCAATCAGGGCTTCCCTGTCTAGGACAAACAGGTTGGTCTCTGTCCCAAAGAACAAGCAGCCACAAGCCTCACATAAGGGGAAAACTCAGAAATCGTGGTTGGAGCATTTCCATATTCCTGGATACTTCAGTTCTGAAAGTTGCCAGTGTCCAGAGGGGGAATTTCAAAGAGAGACCCCAGCTGAATTTCAGCTAATAATGGTAAATGTGCTATGGGCATTAACTGAGTCAGCCATGCTAAGGTGATTGTGTTAGCATCCATTACTGCTGTTGTGAACAGTTTCTGTGCTGCTTTTGCATATATTAAATTGCAGTTGAAATAATCATACTCTATTTCTTGCATTTAATGGATGTCTGATCCCAACTTTTTCATTTTTTCCTGAGTGTGTTCATTTATCCAGTTGAGGATAGCATTTTACATCTAGCCAACAGAACTATATTCTACAATAAATCTCTTAGTCCTTAAGGAGCCATGAGACCCTGCTTTTTATTGTAGCAGACTAAAGCCATTCCTCTGGAAACTAATAAAAATCAGACAGCAAAATTCAGTGATATGAACAGTACTGCCATAAAAGCTAAAGCATTGTTAACTAGTTTTTGAGATATTTTTCTTTGTCGCACAGCATAAATGTGGAAAGTACTACTCCTTAGGAGGCATGGGGGACTATAAGCTTACAGCCCAAATAAGGTCTCAGGGGTTTGCCATCCACCACACTGCTTTACCCACACCCTCACCACCTTTCCTCAGGCAGGAGAAGCTCTTACCTCCAGACAGCAGCTGTCCTGAGATAAGCTTTTCTCTCTTCAGCACAGCAAGTCAGCTTTTCTCAGTGCCAAGTAGGAAAAAGCTCTTAGCTCCTCACTGCTAAGGGGAAAGTGAAAAAAAAAAGAAATTCCCCTACTGTACAGACTTGTGTACATCAGCTGAGGAAGGAGGCTTTTGATAATGGCCCAACACATTTCAAGTAGACATTATTCAGAGGCTGGGCTTGCTCTCCTGATTGCACCTGCTCCACTTGGGAAGTTATAATTATGAAGCTCTCCTGGGTGCTGCTGCTGTTGCTTTGGTGACCTCTATTGTATGTTTTTATTCCAGAAGGAACCTCAGCTAATCCAGGAAGGAAGAGAATTTTCTTCAAGTTATTCCTGTATTGAAACAGCAGGCGGGCTTCAGCAGCTGGGTATGCCAGTCTGTTTGATCATGCATTTTCTTCAAGATGGGCTATGATTCCATGTTTGCAAGCATTAATGCAGATTCAAATTGCCATTCCATTTGTGAAGTGGCACTGAAAGAGTGGGGAAAATCTGCCCCCTTTGAACATTTGTTTGTCATGATTGTACATCAGAAGTGTCTCAGTGTGTGTTGTAGCTAGACAGATCTGTGTTAAGTGATCCTGAGAATCTGAGCCAAATCATTTGACTTGTGAGGCTCACTGAGACGTGGAGGGTTGGGCCATTCAGTCACCATTTCAGGTGGTTAATAAGGGGTTGTTTTCCATTCTTTTTCCTTTTCCTTCTCTCTCTGAACTAAAGGAAGGTTGTCCAAGTTGATCAGCTTTTGTCCAAGTTGAGTGAGCTTTTGTGACTTGGAAAACCACTTGTTTTTCTGGGAAGGATATTCTTAGAGAACATCCTTAAAGAATGGGTTGAACATGCTGACTCACTCTCTCTCACACCCACACCCACACACAGCCCTGCATGTCTCAAAGGATAGTGGAAGGTCTACACCCGGAACATCTGCCATGTTGCTTCCAGAAGTGCAAGACAAAGAGCTGCAGTGGAGCTACAAGTGAACCCTTGTTTGCCACAGGAGCAGAATAAAGGCTGCGTAGCAATTGCCTGGGTCAGCTAGAATGTGCCCACCGTGAGTGAATGGAGAGGCCACAGGAGGGAAGATGTGGGGCCCAGCAAGAGGCGCTTCTCTGTGTATCATTTTGTTGATTGTGCAAAGTGGTATATAAATTGGAGAAATAAATAAGGCACAGTTCTCCATCTGCAAATAGATAAATACATTAGCTCTGTTGGATTGGCAACTAGAAATACTCATATTTGGCCTGAGAAGAGAAAGTGAGAGTGTTCAGTGAGAACCAGCAAGGTTTTAGCTTCTGGTTTGAGCATCCTTTTCCTAGCCCTGAGATGGCAATAAATTTACCCCAGGATGCTGAAAGTGATCTCAACTAGAAGGTCTGCAGTTATTTTGATACCGACAACATCAGTGCTGCAAAATGTGGAAGGGGCTGAGTCTGACCAGCTGTATTTCTCCACTTTGATATAAAGGATGTATATTTCTAACTCTTTTGGATATGCATTTAATTCCTGTTTTAAAATTGTTAGATAATTTATCTGCTGTGCAAAAAAAAGGAAAATCAGTCAATGTAATAGTAAAATTTGTGTTTTTATGCTGGTTGCTGGTTGGGGAGAAAACAGGTTGACCTTCAAACTAGAGGGAAGTTTCTACACAGAGAAGCAAAACCTAGGGGAGGCAGAAGCATGTGACTTTCACATGAAGAAGCCCTTCCGTTGCACAGAGTCCTCAAAAAACCAGCAGGAAGAGAAGTGCCTCTGTTATGCTGTTATGGAACCCTGATCTGGGGCTGGTTGACCCTGAAGCTGCTGTTCAGGCTTAAGAGAAAGGCAGGAAGCTGATCCTCTGCTTTGCCAAACTGTCCAGGCCTTGGTGCTCGGTCTAGCAGATCCTCCGCAAAAGATGCACTTGCAGTTCTGCAGCAGAAAGGGGCCAAGCACCTTTTGCAGCCCGCTGGAAGCACCTGGGTTGCGGAGAACAGAGGCTGAAAGTTTGCTGGACGGTGATATATTTAGGGCCAGAGCCCATTCTCGGCCGTGAGCAGCAGGAGCGGGTCTGGTGTAGCACTGTGGTTTGGCGCACAAGATAGGCAACCGTATTTGTGAGCGCGAATGTCAATTTGGCAAGAAGAAGGGGTTTGTGGGAAAGCAGGCATGGCTATAACACTAACGTCTCTGGAGAAGGAGTGGTCTTGATAGAAAGCAAAGCTTTGTGACTGTCAAGCATTCTTTTTATTGAGACTGAAGGGTGAGAGGATTTCTCACAGTCTCCTACTGCAACCTTGGAGTGGTTTTTTGCTTTGAGGCTGCACGTCTATCAAGACAGGATGTTATGCTTAACCTAAATTGTCTTCTTAATTATCATGATAGGATCGTAGAATAGCAGAGGTGGAAGGGGCCATGAAGGCCATTGGGTCCAGCCTCCTGCTGGTGCAGGTCACCAATTTACACCATCCTCCTCGTGTTATTTGTTGTAAACAGCTAAACCAGAATTAATATGGACTTCCCCCCCAGCCGAAACTTTAATGTACTCTTTTCTCTAGCTATACAGCATTGAGCTGCAATATACCTCCCACTGGGACATGCTGAGGCCTGGAGGTGTCTTGTAAAAGACCCTGTTTAAAGATATAAGCAATTTTGTGGCAGGTCCCTGCTTCAGCAGCCTCTCAAGCCAAGCTCATTTGCATCAGAGGAAAGAGTGCTGAGTTATTTTGTCTCACCATAAACAAGACAGTGGCAGTCGAAATTCTGGAAGCTCATCAAGTTTCTCTCCCTGATGAAGCTCTGTTAAAGGCATTTCTTTGTATAAGACCTTGCTCTCAGAAGCTCCTGACAGGCTGTCAAAACGATTCCTGGTTATGCTGGAATGAATTGCAGTTAATGCTGTTGCCTAGTATGAGCTCTCTCTCTGGTCCTTTCTCTATAAAACATGCAGATGACATTTGACAAATTGAGAAAAAGCATCCTGAAGTTACAAGTCGAGATGCAGAGCCAGTACTCAGTTGAGCACCAGCTGTGCCAGGCAATGAGACGGGCTGGGCTGCCAGGGGTGTTGTCCTTGGAGGGCCCGTGCTGGTGGCCTGGGTCCCTGCCCTGCCCTGACCCTGTCACTGCTGGAGGACAGGACGGAACTGCTTGAGAGCAGGCCTTGCTCCCAGCAGCAAGCAGAAGGGGGTGGAGGATGGCCCAGAGGGCACCTCAGACACGCAGCTGGCCGTCCAGCAGCGCGGCGGCACTCCTTTACTGCCTTTGCTTGCCCATGGCTTAGCCCATTGTTCAGATCTGGCCTGCAGGCTAAGCCATGGGGGGCTCACTAAACCCCACCACAAGCCATGGCTCATGGTGGATTTATACTCCACTCCTGGGAGGAGTGAAGGTCCCAGTGAGTAAACCACCCGCACAAAGAGTCAGTGTGTGCTTATAGATGCGGCAAGGAGACAAAGGCAAAGCAGGTTATAAGATGGGGAATACATGGCTGGAAAGGACTACAGTGGAAGAGGACCTGGGAGTTACTGTGGCCAACAGGCTGAATGTGAGCCAGCGATGCGATGCAGCCGCCAAAAGGGCAAGCACGATTTTGGGATGCATTAACAGAAGTAATACTTCCAAATCACGAGAAGTAGTAGTTCCTCTGTACTCAGACCTCACCTGGAATAATGTGTCCAATTCTGGGCACCAAGATTTAAGAAAGATTTAAGAAAGATGCAGGAAAATTAGCCAGGTCCAGAGGAGGGCCACAAAAATGATCCGGGGGTTGGAAACACTGCCCTGTGAGGAGAGACTGAGGGAACTGGGCATGCTCAGCCTTGAGAAGAGAAGGCTGAGGGGGGACATGGTATTCCCCTATAAGTACCTCAAAGGCTGTCACAAAGAGGAAGGTCAAGATCTCTTCTTGCTAACGCCAGAGTGTAGGACACAGAACAATCAAGTCAAGCTGCAGCAACCCAGATTCAGGCTGGGCATCAGGGAAAGCCTCCCCACTGTCAGAGCAATAGGGCAGTGGAACCGGCTGCCCAGAGGGGTGGGGGGCTCTCCCACACTGGAGGCATTCAAGGTGGAACTGAACCACCACCTGAGTGTAACCTGGAGTCCTGCAACAGCAGGGGGTTAGACCCAGCTGCCTTCTGGCCCCTTCCAACTCTGCTGTTCTGTGATGCTATAACATCCTTGAGCAGGTTTCACTGCATCACATGGAGCTCCTTCTCTGTCTTGTCTCTGCATGAAAATCTTTTTCCTATCTGGGCTTTACTTGGTCTCCATGTGCCCCCCCCCACCCCACATTTTGTACAAGCTCCTAATTTGCCAGAATCCAAAGGAATGATATATGGATGTTTATCATGGTAACTATTTTAAATTGGTATTTCAGATTCTCTCCCCACTCCCAAGGGTGTCAGGTATTAAACCGAGCATAGCAACAAAGTCTGTTTTTTCTGTATTAAGGGCAAAAGGAAGAAGCATGTACCCCACTAATCTAATCTTCTCCTCTCCTCTTCTTGTAGAAGAAAACCAAGAAAAAGTACAGGTGACATCTGTAAACCTGTCAAACCCCGTGGAAGAAGCACAAGGTATGACACCTGATGGGACTAGACCATTTAGTAAAGCAGGAGAGCACAGTGCCAAAGTGAATGCATGTGTTCCACCTGAGAGCAGTGAATGCTTAGATGTAGACACAGTCATGGCCGAAGTTGCAGTTTCAGGAACTGGCACCTTACTCTCTCTGGAGCACTTTCATTTTATGGAGAGCAGATCAAGAAGAGAACAGCTGAAGGAAGACGAAGGCGGTAGATGTCTGACCACCTGTGCCACCCTATCGGCAACTGGAGGCAGCCTTCCTAGTTGCCAGGCTGGAAGAAGATGGCCCCTGATTCAAGATGAGGAAGTCCACAAACCCTTCAACAATTGTCCACCTGCCCTGCTTGACAAGATGAGCTTGTATGAAAATGATAGTTCTGCACTAGTGTTGGAAAGCAAGATTATCATTGATACTCAGCTATCAAGCACAAATTCCCAAATTCCAGGTCATCTGTTGGGCAGTAGTTTGGAATTTGGAAATGCGCAGCAGGTACAAAATGCAGCTTCCTCTGAAGTACAGAAAGAGGGTTGCTCTGATATCTTGAAGGAAGGCTTGAATTGTTGCACTAGTGAAAAACTAGAGGGGCTTGTGGAAGAGTGGGCCTCCAGGCCCCACACGTGGAGCAGGGACAGTGAGCATGAACAAGGAAGGGGTGATTGTGTTGGCCACTCCCATGAAGAAGCTGGTGGCATCCAGAAAAAAGCTGCTGTGCAATACTGCCGGAAAGACATTGATAAAAAACCTCACTCAGAGAATGGCAAATGCGCAGTTCCGGTGGAACAGTTCGCAGGGGCGAAAGGCCTGCATCCTGCAAAGGGCCTGTTTTCCCTGCTGCCTTCACCTGAAGAACGTTTGCAGGATGGCTGCAGGCAAGATTGTGCAGGAACTGCCAGCATCCCAAAAGACCAGCCTCAGCTGTGTGCTTCTTCCAGTGAGGGAAGGCTGGCCACCAAGGAGCATGGGGCTCTTCTCATGGGAGCAGAGGGCTTTGGGTGCTTTCGGAGCAGCTGCCACGTAAGCAGGAATTCACATCCTACCTGTCATGGCCCTCAGGATGGAGGTGCTGAGTCAGCTGAAGAGAGCTCAGTGCAGATGGGACCCAGCAGGGACCCAAAGCCAGAGGTCCCAAAGAATAGTTCAGCCATCACAGCTCCGCCTGCTCCCAACTCTTCCAGCACAGTAGATGTCAGCTTAGGTGCTGATGAAGAAAATCCCCAAAGAACTCAACTCTGTAAAGAGCTTCGATTTACCAAGAAGGCGAATAGGACTTCTGGTAGCAGCGTGCTTCTAAGCGGTCTGACCCAAGGACTCTTCCCTGAGACCTGGGCAAAGCTGGGCGTAGAAAGCACAAGCTGCTTGCCTCGAGACGAGAAGGAGCTGGCTTGCCCAGGTCGGGCTAGCTGTGAGTGTGCTGTAACAACTGGAGAGACACAGCACAGAACAGCCCTCATGCTGAGGGACACTGAAGAAGGGACAGCTCCTATGAACAGTTTACAGAGCACAGCATGCAGCCCTGGTGGTGGTTTCCTCTCTGAAACTTGCTGCTCCATGTTAGGAAGTGTCTCCTTAGATCACGGTGAGCTAAAATTGAGGACCAAAACAACCACTGAAGAATCTGATCAGTTGGAAATGAGCCGCACTGCTGTATTTGACAGGGGAGTCATCCCTGCCCAGGTATGTAGCGATGGCCAGGCATGGGGCTGCCATCCCTCTGGCAGTGATTGGGGGGGCTTGGATGGGGCAGAAAGCATGTCCAGCACTGGCCTACGAAAGAACCTAACTTCAAAACCAGATGCAGAGGCTGAAAGCCAGAGAACTGACAGTGATGACATTTCTGCGACTTCAGAAGCCATTCTGGGTGTGAATGCCAGTGTTTTCCCTCCCTGTGCAAAACTAAGGCAAGACTTCATTAACGCTTCACTGGTGGTTGAATCATTCGGAAAGGAAGCAATAGAAGGTGTAAAAACAGGTGGAGACAGCCAGAGAAAAGGCCTGAGAGAGAAACTAGTGTGTGGCAGGCACTGGAACAAAATCCCCCTTTCTCTTGAACTTGGCAAACTTACAAAAGATCAAAGCAAGGAAGGAGGAGGGAGTCAACAAGCTGTCCCTGGCCATCCCTCGTCCTCTGTGCCTGACCTCTCCAGTCAGAAGAGTGACCTGGCCTCTGGCTCCCCAGCTTATGCAAAGCCGCAAGCCTGTGCTCTGCCTTTGGAACGGTCATGCAGTAAAGAGCCGGATCAGGCGAGACACACTGTTCAGCCTGCTGGGCAGCAAAATGATTTTAATCATGGAAATGAAGCCCAAGCTGTAGACATTTTAGAACATCGGCCACCCCTGATGTTGCCAGAGAAGCAAACGATAGACTGTATTGTACAGACTGCGACCCGTTCACGTGCAGAATCTCAAAAATTGCTCTGCTGCAGACATAGCAGGACACCATGTCCAGAGAAAGGCCAAGGGGTAGAAAACGGCATGCAAGAAACACTCCTGCAACGGGCAGGGCGGTGCGGCACGTTCAGGGAAATGGTGCTAATTGGCCATCCATTGGAAGAATCGTTTTTGGGATGTTTAGAATGTGCTCCTGAATTATTGATGTCAAACGGCTTTGTCACAGATCAAGCTCATCAAGTAGCAAAAAGTGAGTCCAGTGCTGCCGTGGGAGCAGTCAGCAGAAGCCCCTCCGATGTGCTAGACAAACGCCCATTTCTAAAGTTTAACACTGAGCCTTCTTCAGCTCCTAACCAAGTGCTTTTCCAGCCAGACTCTCTAGCCTTCATTGCCTGGAATAGTCAGACAGGTATGGAGGGAGTGTACTCAAAGTCATTCAAGAAGAACGCAACTCCTCATTTGACACACGTGTGTTTAGCTGTGCACCGTGCTGAGCATCTCAGAATCTTTTTATCGCAAAACTGTGAACTTTCCTCTAAGGCTCTTTGCCTTCCTCTCACCAAGAGGCCTCCTGCTGCAAGCACCTCCCTGAGGGGAGAGCCTGCTTGCCCCCACAGCCCCTTAGCAGCAGAACCAGGGAGGGCGAGCCCTTCCTTCGGGGCAGACACCTGTGCAGCTTATCCTCTGGATGGGAGAGGAATTCCCATAAGCGCAGGTGGAAGTGCGCGAGGGGCAGGCAGATGGCACGAAATTGTGGCTATAATATTCAGCAGTTCTAATCCTTCAAGGAAGATGAAACCATCCGTGGAAGATGACCAGACAGGGCATCCTCGAACAGCTGAGGCAGCGGAGTTGCCAGTTCCTTTTCTTTCCCACCCCAAGAATTCAGGAGCTCTTTTACAGTGCTTGAGGCTTCCTATCATGGGGGAAGAAGCCGCTTTCCCATTCAGGGTGGAGGTGCTAACCAGGTCGTCTTTTGCCCATCCATCTGAGCACATCCCAGAGCTTGGCTTGAGCAAAGCGAAAGATCCCTCAAAAGTAGCAGTCATTGCGTGGTATCTAGAGAACAGTCCTTGCACCTCGCAGACACAATGCTTATTTCCCACAAGATTATCTCTGGAAATCCTTTGGCGCACTGTGGCTTGTGCTTCTTCGTGTGGCAGCGTGTTAGAGGATTCCCCAACATGCCTCCCTCGCAGAGGAGGATGTTTGCTGGGCGTAGAGTGTGGCCAGGATCTGGCAGGGGTCAAAAGGAAGGTGCTGGAAAGTCAGCTGGTCCACCTCGGCACAGAGTCACCTGCTAAGAAGAGGAGAGCCTCTGCGACAGGGGATCGCGTGGGGCCAGCCCAACGGTGGGCGCAAGGGGAGGCTGAGGCAGTGGCAGCTCTGCATGCCACAGTCAGGCAGCGGGACCTGAAAAACGAGAGGGCGAGAAGCCTCCTGAAACGGAGAGGGAGGGTGGCTCGGCCCCCTTTGGGCAGCTCTTCTCACGAGATGGACGCAGGTCTGGCAGGCCTGACTCAGCAGACACTTGCAGCGGGGAGCCCGGCGGAGGACTGCGAGGGCATTTGTGGCACTTTCTGGGGAGCAAAACGGCCAAAAAGCGCCATGGACTTAATTGTGGGGGAGGATGCCGGGACTGGGTGCCGAGCCCTTTCCTTCAGGAGCCATAGCTGCCAGCCAGCGCAGAGTGACAGGCCCACAGCAGTCCACCGCACGTGGCCCCGAGCCATCGGCAGTCGCCATGGTAGGAGCCAGGCTGGCTTTGTCAGGGAGCGCAGCGTGAGACGGCCGCTTCCATTCAGCAGGCAGCCTCAAAAAGCCTGCGCAAGGCTTCCTCCCGCAGGTCGGTGTGAGGCAGCCAAAACAGGTCTCCAGATGCCAAGTTCTGCTTTCCTGAAGGCCGCTTCCAGGCGCAAATGCACACCTCCCACTTCTGTGTATTTTGCCACAAAGCCGGCAGCCATGAAAAGCACAGGAGCCATAATCTGGAACCGAACGCCAAAGTGCAGCAGCAGCCAAAGCAGCTTGTTGGACTTCTTCAGGCTTCGCTGCCATGCCAAAGCCCACGCAGTGCTCTTCAGGAGGCGGCCTGCATCTGCAGACGCCCCCACGGCCTCCCCGAGGACCCCACAAAAACTCAAGCTGCTCTTACGTTCCACTCAGCTTGTTCCGGCAACTGCAGAGCACACCCAGCCTAGAAGCAAGAAACTGCTGGAAATGGTCTCCTGCATCAAGGTGAAGTTATGCTCTCCGTGGATTAGTGGTGGCAGCTGCTGCTTCAAGGTGTTCCACTCCCAGTCTGTAGCCCTTTGCCCCATAGAAGTGAATGAGCTGTGCTGCCTTGAGCCGAGCCACAGAACGCCGCTTGCCTTCAGCGCACCAGTCGCCCCAGCCTCTTGGCATGCAGTAATGGAGCCCAGCTCCCTGAGGAACCCCGCAGGGATCCGCTCCCTGCACAGCACCCCTCAGGGGTTGCCCCTCCAAGAGGAGCTTGGTGCGCAGCCTTCCCGGTGGGACTTCTCTTTCCTCCTTCCAGAGCGCTGCCCAGGCATCGCACCAGTGCAGAAAGACGCCTGGGCCCCTGCTGAGTCCGATGCTGTGATCGCCGGGTCGCTGACAGCAGCGAAGAAAAGGGAAAGAGACGCTGTCGCTCAGGGTGCAGCCTGCCCCATGCGTGGCCTCCAGACCGTGCTGGCTCTGGTTTCCCCTGGTTGCTATCGAGCCTGGACAAGAGAGAGGAATCTAAGCCGTCGAGTCCCAGCTGTTCAGAAGCTGGTGCTGCCACAGCTCGCCTGGGGCTGGAAGGGGTTAAGAGGCTCCCCTTCTGTATCAGCTGACCTCTTTTCTTCCTTGCTCTATTCACTGGACAGGGGGCTGTCCCTATGGAGCCAGCGGGGGCCTTCCACCTGTCCCTCCGAATTCTCCCCTCTCTGCGCTGGTCGACACAAGTGGCAGCCAGTCACTGCTGCGGCCACACGTCTGGGCCTCGGGAACAGGTAAACCTCCTTCCCTGCTGCTTCTGAGAACCCACCTGCCGCTGAATGTCCTTCACTGTCCCTCAGGGGAGGGGGCCTGGAGGAGGGGGCATGTGTTTCATCCTTCCGCTGTGAGCGTGCGTGCGTGCGTGCAACTTCCTGCTGGTTCAACAGGCACACTCAGATGCCCCCTGCAGAACCCCACCTTTTCGGCCAAAGTAGCACCAGGCTTGGTGGGTTTCTTTCTTGACAGACCATTAACTCTGTTTTTCTCCCTCCTGGCCACACACAATGCATCATGCGCCAAAGCATGCATGCAGAAAGGTGGGCAGCCTCACTCACGCTCTGCAGAGCTCCTGGATGCTGGAGGTAGGAAGGGCTTGGAGACCCAGGGTACCCCAGGGCATACCCCTCAGCATTGCAACAGGGATTGCCCCAGCACCGCTTTGCTGGGGTGCCCTCAGAGACCACCCACTTGCCCACCTACCTCTTCCCCTCATGCACTTTCTGACAGGCTGGTTTGTTGGCCCACTCCTCTCTAAGAAAACCCGTTGCCCTTGCTGGGGCCTGCCAAGCGGAGCGCGTCTTGGGTGCATTCCATGTGATAGGGCAGCTGCAGGACGCTTCGGGGGGCCCTTGGGAAACAGATCCAGCACCACGGGGCTGGGGACAGGGCTGGCCACACGATGTAGCCGTCACTCCGTTCCAGCTCCTGGTTTGCCATAAAGGAAGAACTGGCAAAGCTCTAAAATTACTTTGCTTCACATTCTTCAAGTACTTTAAAGTGGATTTGGATGAACATCTGGCTCCATCTCCTGTCAAGCTGGATTGCTGGGTTGGCAGCTGTGCAAGCTGCAGACTCCACTCATGGCCTTTTTCGTGGCAAACCTGTGTCTTGCCACTCAGCTCTAAGCCTTCAGAGGCTGGTTTCGTCCTGCCCCAGCCCCACTGTCACGTTTAAGTGTTCTGCACATAAAAGCAAACATGATGTATAAACTTAAATGTGCACCTTAATTGTTAGTTCCTGTATTTTAAAAAGAAGACACCCGTAGTATTCTGGAAAAATAAGTGCATGGGCTCAACTCTGTGGCAGGCAGTCATTCTGTGCACTTCGTCTCACCACCCACTTCTCCAGAATCTACAGAGTTCTGCCCTGTCTTTGTGAGACCGCCTCGGTGATGGGCTGGGAAAGCATCACCCCGTTACTTGGCCTGAGGGGAAGCCTGTTGCCGCACAGCCGTTTGCTAAAAGCACGTGGAAGCCCACCTGAGGACAGGCAGGGTGGCTGCGTTCTCGCCTGTGGAGCGCATCCCCAAAGAGAGTGCCTTGCCAGGAGCCCAGCAGAAGCTTCGATCGAGTGCCGAGGCACAGAAAAGCTTGCTTTTGCTTCCATCGCTACTTTGGAGTGAAACATCCTGGCAAAGATGTGTGATACCACATTCGTGTCTTGAGAAAGCCTGGCCCAGTCCCAGGGGCCTGGAGGGCATTCTAAGCATCGAGGAGCTCTTAGGAAAGGGGGCTCCCCACCACTTTTCTGGCCACATGGTCAAGGAAGAAGGGGCTGTGAGACAGGCCGGTACGGAGTGGGTCAGCCCCCAGGCCCCTTCCAGTCGAGTTGCACAGTCCTGCCTCAGGCACTTATTTGTGGGTGGGCAGGAGGCACGTGTGTGAGGCTGCTCTGGCTGTCACCTGGGTTGGAGCACCCGCCTTTCGATAAGAACCTCCCTTGGCAAGGCACAGGTGGCCGGCTCTGCTTGTCACTCCGGCTTCCAGCTCCTGGCAGGGGGCAGACAACCCAGCAAGGGAGTTGCCAGGGAGTGCCGGCCTCCCTGGCACTTCTGCAGGCTGGGTGAAATCCCAGGCTGTGAAAAGGCCCAGAGTGTCAGAGGGAGCCAGTCTGCTCATGTTTTTCATACTTGAAGTGTCTCCAAAGTCCAACCCACCGGAGGCTGCTGGCCTTGGGCCTGGTGGAAGCACAAGGGCCGGTCAGCATGGACTTGCTCTTTAAAAATGGCAGGAGCGGTGGCCTTGAAACCCAGTCAGGTTCTCCAGGATCACCTGGAAGAGTGCTCCAGGCCGCTCGCTCAACAACTCGGAAGCTCTTGAGACTGGCCCTGTTTTTTCTTGGCCATAAACGGCCATGCCCTTTCCCACCATTCTGACGGCTTCTAGAGAAGCAAGCCTCTCTTGCTCTGGCCAGAGAGGTCTCTCCCTCCCCGCCTGGAGGAGCCATCTGTGAGCCTGAGGGGCCAGCAGGGGTGCCGCCCGCTCCTGCTCGCAGTGCAGTGGCCCTGGTGGCACCTCTGCTTGGAAGGCCGCTCTGACTGCTCTGTTCTCTGTGGTTTTTCCTTTCTGCACCAGCTCTGCCATGGCACCCCTGCTGCCTGACCGGTTCATCGAAGCTGCCGGGCCCGCGGATGACCTGAGGTGAGTGTGCCCCCACCACACCGGTTTTGTCCACGTGCGAAGGAGCACACTCGCCTCCTGAAAGCTTGTCCCGGGGCTCGTCCTGTGCATTTGTTCAAGGACAGGCTGAACATGCACGGAGCGTGTCATGGGCGGAGCTGGATGGAGCCGGGGGTCAGACTAGATGGTCTGAGGGGTCCCTTCTGACTTGCTTTCTTTCTGTGTTTCTATTTGCCCTTGCCTGGCCTCATGCTTGTCTTTGCTGAGGAGCTTTGCGCCTCTGGTGGGAAACCCTCTTTTCCATGAAACTGGCAAAAAGCTTGTGTCCTCATTTGTCTCAGTGGTTAAGCTATGCAAGGCGAGACAATGGGATGGAGGATCAAGTTGGAGCCACCGGCGTGTTGGGGACCTCCCCACGCCAAAGTTGGCAGCAGGCCTTTTCCAGGCTGACTGCATGCCTGCAAAGACAAGAAACCTTTTGTCCTCATTCTTACTCAGAAATCACAGGAGGCCGGAGACTCGCCTTGGGCTCTTAGCCTTCCCAACTTCGTGGGCCTTAATACAGACCTGAGGCCCTGTGCCTGGAGGCTGCCTTCCGGGGTCGCGCTCAGGTGCAGGCAGCTTTGCTGAGGCCCTTCCTGCCGAAGCGGCTCATGGGCACAGCCAGCCCCCACAGAAGTGTGAGCTGGGCTCCCACCCCGCCTGCCCCCGCTCAGCCTTTCCACCCACGGCACGACCGCCTGGCCGGGCAGGGGACCGCCTCCGGCGCGGCCCTCCAGGAGGGCTGCCCCTGCCGTCAGAGGACTGGCCTGCCAGGCCTAGCCTCCTGCTGCCGCTGACGGGGCAGCACCCTGGGGCCCTGGCCTCTCAGTAGCTGCTTCTTTCTTTCTCCGCTCCTCTGCTGTTCGCCCAGGTTGACGCCCCCCCTGGCCACATCGTTGCCATCGTTTTGCTCAGCTCTAGAATCGGCACAATCTCCCGCGGGACCTTCGGCACCTGATTTTCAAGCCCACCCACTGGATGAATTGGATGTTTCTGTCCCTGCCTTGTCCAGGACTCGGATTGAGGAAGTGAGTTGAGTTTGACGCATGGAGACGGAGGGGAGGGGGGAACCAAAAAGTGCTCCTGAGCTGGGGGCGCCTTCCGTAGCTTAAAAAGTAGGAAGGTCCTTAAGATCCGTAATGACGGATACGTCAGTTGGTTCAGAACAGAGCCGCCAGGTTGCTGTCAGGTGCCAGTTGTTGCTCTTGCATAACGCCAGTCCTCCGTCAGCTCCGCTGGCTTCCAATTGAAGCCCGGGCCCAATTTAAGGTGCTGGTTTTGACCTATAAAGCCCTGAACGGCTTGGGACAAGGATACCTGAAGGAATGCCTCCTTCCTTATATGCCCTCCCACCCCTTAAGATCTGCAGGAGAGGCCCTGCTCCGGGAACCCTCCCTGAAGGAGGTCAGGAGAGAAGATACTCGGAGGGCCTTCTCTGCACTGGCGCCCCGGCTATGGAATGGGTTCCCCAGAGAGGTCCACCTGGCGCCGATGTATGCTTTTTGGCACCAGGTCAAAACCTTTTTATTTTTCTGTAATTTTACTGTTTAATATTTTAACTATGTTTTATGCTCAGCATTTGATTATTTTGTATTATTTGGGTTTATACATATTTATTGGATTTTGACTTGTAAGTCGTCCAGGGACCCGCAACTTACTGGACGGGGTAAAAATACCCAAATACCCAGAGAAGGTGAGTGGGCGGGCCGTGAGTGAAAATTATGCTGCCCCTCCCCCACATGAGCAAAGACAGGTGAGCAGCCCTGGAGACGCCCTCGCCATCTCCTCGCCCCCGTTGTGGCATGGGGGAAGTGCTGCCTCCCCATTGGACTTCCTCTAAGGGCGACTGAGACACCTTCTGACATTCTGCATGTCTTTCACTGCGTCCAAACTGTGGGGGCCACCGCAGCTGGGAGAGACCATGTGCTCCCGAACGGGCTAGCTGGGGCTGAGTCGGCCTGCCCTCTCGCTCGTGGCCTTGCTTGGGCCCACCTGGTGCTTGCAGAATTGCTCTGAGGATGCAGTGGGACAACTCCACCTCTGCGCCCGGCCTGTCCCCGTTGCCTTTGTCTCATGTCATCGTTGTCCGTTTCCCTTCCCTGCACAGGCTGAATCAGAGAAGAGGCCAAAGAAAGTCTCCCAGATCCGGATCCGGAAGGCAATTCCCAAGCCGGATCCCAATCTCACTCCCATGGGGCTTCCAAGACCCAAAAGGTAAGGATGCCGACATGGATGGTGACCCACTGCTGTGGTTGCCGCAATTCTCGAGTGCTGGAGTACCATCAGCGGGGTGCCCGGCGCTTTGCAGAATGAAGGAGGGCCCTCCACTCGTGCCTTGCTAACTTGCAAGCAGCAAAGGCATCGCGGAGCGTGTGGCAGGTCCTGGATTTTACGTGGGCGAAGCGTTTCGGGAGAGAGGCTAGTCCTAGCTTGAGGTGAGCATTTTGGGGTCAGGAGGAATGACCTTGGGCAGGAAAGGGGAGGTCCAGAGGTCCAGCCTGCCAGGAGCCGGGGTTGGACTGCAAGTCTAGATGTTCTGTGGCTGGAAACTTCCTACCCAGGGTTGTGTTTCACCCTGAACTTGGGAACAAGCCCCTGCCTTCCCCTGCAGGCTCTTGAGAGCTGCCTCTTCCTCTGCAGAGCCCTCTCCGCGGGAACAGACACTTGGTGTGCACGTTGCAGTTCCTCCTCCCAGGATGTACCAGGCCTCTGGAGGAAGGGCCTGCAGGAAGGCTCCAGCTGCTGCCCTGGATGCACGCCGGCCGGCCCCAGAGCAGGCAGAGGGCGTCCGGAGGCCATTGGTGCAGGTGGCACAGAACTGCCAGAAGCAGGAGGGGAAGTGGGGGAGGAGGCTGAGGAGCTCTGAGGGGGCCCAGGAAGGACAAAGCCCCGCCAGGCTGGGCCAGCAAGTGCAGCAGCGCCCCAGACAGAGGTCCACGCAGCACAGCGAACAGCCCTGCACAGTTTCTGCAGTATCCCAACCTGTCCCCATACTTAATGCGCAGACGGTGGGCTATTTTCCATGCTCCCTCTTCCATCCTCCTGGTCTTGCCATGCCTCCCAGCAGCCCCACGAGCAGAATCTCTGTCCTTACGCCGTTGCCCCTGCGGACCACGGCAGCCTCGTCCTGCTTGGCCCGCTGAGGTTTCAAGGCAGGTTCTGCTTCCCCCTCCTGAGTGTGCCTGCACTCTGGGATGCTTCCTGGCCACCCCAGCCTCCAAAGGGATTTTTATTTAAATCACAAGAAACCCTTTTGAAGAAAGTGACTGCAGAGGAGCAGAATCCCAGAAGGTGCCCTGAGCCCCCAGGCCAAGCCTACCGGAATAACGCTGCCTGCTGTCTGTTCACCGTAAGGCTTCCAAAGGTGTCCCCTTTTTCTGGGTTGGCCCCTCCTTGGAAGAAGCAGCCAAGGACCCTGGGCAGGCACTACCTTCAGTCCCACCAGACAGGCCCTGAAGGGCTCGTTGTGCCTCTGCATTGGCTGTGCTCCCACAAATGGGCAGCCCCCGGCCAGAATGGCTTGGCCTTGAGGGTGAACCCTGCAAGCAGAGTGAGACCTGGCACGTTGTGAGCCGCCACAGAGAACCAACAGGTTGCACTAAGGTTTGTGCACTGCAGCACTGCAGCTGCTTGCTGGTACGTGGAAGAGCAACTGCTGGGGAAAGAACAGTCCTTCGGGTGAATGACTGGCTACGAAGGTGGTGCCGTCAAGAGAGATTTGCGCTCTGGGACCACAAGCTAAGCTTCCTGGAAGACGGACCACTGGCAAGTGACGGGCTGCACCTCACAAAGAACGGGAAGCAGGTGTTTGGCCTCTACGTGAAAAAGTTCATCAGGAAGGCCTTAAAATGCATCATTCAGGGGAGGGGGGAGGGGGACATGCAGCACGGCATATCACCACCTGGCAAAGACTGATATATTTCAGCAGAGGAAAAAGCCTCAGGCGGGGCCCAACACCAGTCTCCCAAAAAATCTAGGAAGAAAACCAGGGCACAGCATATAAGAAACAAACAACATGAACTTGAGCTCATACATGAACATGAGGGCAAATATGATCTTATAGGAATCACTGAAACTTGGATGACTCACATGAGTGGAACATTATTAAAAATGTTTAAATAAATAAATAAATAAACTCTACAATTGATGAATACAACCTGTTTAAGAAAAATAGAAAAGACAAAAATGGAGGTGAAGTTGCACTATATGCAAGAGACACATATATCTACACAGAAATATAAGAAAAGGAACTTAGTAGCCCCATTGAAAGCATCTGGTAAATTTAAAGGGAGCAAAAAACAAGAAAAATGTAGTTGTTGGCCTATATTACCATCCAGCCAGTCAAAAAGAGGACAAGGATGCAACCTTCGAAAAGCATCTTGCCAGCATTTCCAAGAAGATTGATGTAGTCCTTATGGGGGACTTCAATTTCCCTGATACAGGCTGGGAGACAAATTCTGCCAAGCATGGCCCCTCCAAGAGATTCTTGACATACGTATGTTGCTGACAATGTTCTCCAGCAGAAAGTAGAGGAGGGTATGAGAGGATCAGCTATTCTTGATTTAATACTAGCTAACAGGGATGGCCTGCTGGACCAAATAGCAGCCATGGGAACTCTGGGGGAAGGTGACCATGCGATACTTGAATTCTCATTATGAAGGAGACAAAGGGTAACTGGAGCCAGACAAGCATCCTGGACTTCAAGAAAGCCAACTTTAAGGAACTCAGAAAAATTATAAGTGAAGTGCCATGGCAACACACCCGTAAAGGGAAAGGTGTCCAAGAGGGTTGGGAAATCTTGAAAAAGAAGATTCTCCAAGCACAACTATGAACAATTCCATCCAGAAAAAAGTGTGGAAGACTACAGAAGAAGCCCACGTGGCTCCACAAAAAGTTAAGTGACAGCCTGAAAGAAAAAAGGGAAAATGTACAGGAAGTGGAAGCAGGGCCAGGCCACGAAGGAAGCAAATAGCAAGGAATTGCAGGAATAGCATCAGAAGGTTAAAGCAGGAAATGAACTGAGAATAGCAAGGGATGCTAAACACAACAGGAAAGCCTTCTTCAGATACATCCAGAACAAAAGACATGAGAAAGAGAAGGGTGTCCGGCTACTGATTATAGATGGCAGTACTGACAGATGACAAAGAAAAGGCAGAGGCACTCAATTCCTACTTCACCTCAGTCTTCTCCCACAAGGAAATCTGCAATCAAGAGGAAGTTCTGGCTGGAAGAGAGAGATGGCAGCCCAAGATGGACAGAGAAATGGTCAAGGAATACCTAGATGGAATAAACACTTTCAAATCTCCAGGGCCCAACGAACTCCATCCCAGAGCCATAGAAGAGCTAGTGGAGGAACTCTCAGAACCACTGATTATTATCTTTGACGAATCTTGGAAAACAGGAGAAGTACCAGACAACTGGAGAAGGGCTAATGTTGTCCCTGTCTTCAAAAAGGGGGAAAAAGATGAATCTAGGAACTGCAGACCAGTTAGTCTAACATCAATCCCTGGAAAAGTTCTGGAGCAAATTATTAAAAATCCATCTGCAAGCACCTGCAAGAAGAAAATGCAGTGATTAATAGACGCCAGCATGGACTGATCAAAAATAAATCCTGTCAGACTAATTTAATCTCATTTTTTGACTGGGGAATCTCCCAAACGGACAAAGGAAACACTCTGGACATAATCTACCTAGACTTTAGCAAAGCTTTCGACATAGTGCCACATGACATTCTGATAAGCAACTTAGTAAAACCTGGACCAGATGGAAGAACTACTAGGTGGATCCAAAATTGGCTGCTAAATCAGACACAAGGAGTGCTCATCAATGGCACCTTCTCAAATTGGATGGGGGTAATGAGTGGGGTGCCACAGGGTTCAGTCCTGGGCCCAGTGCTCTTCAACATCTTTATTCATGATTGAGATGAGGAAGTACAAGGAACGATAATCAGATTTGCAGATGATAAAAAAAACTGGGTGGAATAGCAAACACCCTAGAAGACAGAATGAAGGTCCAGGGCAAGCATGATAAACTTGAACACTGGGCTCAAAGCAACAGAATGAAATTCAAAAAGGACAAGTGCCAAATTCGCTGCCATCTTTCTGGAAAAAGAAACCAGATGTATTGATACAAGATGGGAATACATGGCTCAACAGAACTGAAAAAGATCTTGGAGTAACTGTGGACAATAAGCTAAACATGAGCCAACAGGATGATGTAGCTGCCAAAAGGACAAGTGCTATCTTGGGGTGCATTAACAGAAGTATTACTTCTAAATCACAGGAAGTCGTAGTTCCCCTATGCTCCTCACTAGTTATCTGGAATACGCGTCCAGTTCTGGGACCAAGATTTAGGAAAGATGCAGAAAAATTAGAAAGTGTCCAGAGGAGAGCCACAAAAATGATCCAGGGTTTGGAAACACTGCCCTCTGAAGGGATACTGAGAGAACTGGGCATATTCAGCCTTGCGAAGAGAAGACTGAGGGGGGACATGATATCCCTATATAAGTACCTCAAAGGCTGTCACAGAGAGGAAGGTCAAGATCTCTCTGAAACAGGAGCGCTCAACATGGAACAATCAATTCAAGTTGCAACAACCCAGATACAGGCTGGACCTCAGGAAAAGCTTCCTCACTGTCGGAGCAACACGGCAGTGGAACCGGCTGCCTGGAGAGGTGGGGGGCTCTCCCACACTGGAAGCATTCAAGGCGGAACTGGACAGCCATCTGAGTGAGATGGTGTAATATGGTGTCCAGCCATAGCAGGGGGCTGTACCCCATGGTCTTTATGGCCCCTTCCAACTCTATTATTCTACAATTATGTGTGAAGCTGGCTGCCAAGTTTTTCCACGGTTTCCCCATTTTGGCCAGTGACTTCTATAGCAGATCAGCCGTGGCCCCTCCAGCCACCATTTCCACTGATCCATTCGCCTGGGCACCGCTGCGTGGCCAGAAGGCATGGCACTGATTGGGTGCCCCTGGTCCTGCCCCTCAGCGCATGCCCCACGCCACCTGGCTGCCATTTCTGCTGCCTGCCCAGCTCGCAGGGGCTGGTGGGATGCATGCCGCCATGCAGAGGGAAGATGGAGGCACTGAGGCCACTCGTGAGCATTTGCCTCGTGTATGCGCGAACTGGACATGAAGTGAGAAAGGTAGCTTTGTGGTATTCCTTAGTGTTTCGTATGAACACCCCCTTGTTTAAAAAGACCCCTTTGGGCCTGAGAGAAGAGATCAGTTGGGTAACTGCAGCGGAGGCAGGACAGAAACCACGAGGGCAGCACCACCAGCGTGCCCCTCCTGGCAGCTGGCCACCTCTGTGCCCCACAGAAATGCTGGGCTGCTCCACAGCGGCTCTTCTGCTCTGCCTGCGGGAGCAAATGTTTCCCTGGCACAGTGGCCTCCATCGCCGTGTTGCAGCAGCTCGTAAAGTCCCGTTTTGTCTGGTAGAAGAACAACTACTACTGGGGTTGAACATTTGTGTGGCAATAGATATGAATGGCTCTAAGTCTCTTCTTATCCCTTCAGGTTAAAGAAGACAGAATTCAGTTTAGAAGAAATATACACCAACAAGAACTACAGCTCTCCCCCCACAACCAGGTTGGTTCCATTCACCAGCAGGAGGGTGGGCTGGCTCCGCCCTGGGGCCCTGCACAGGCTCTGCCCCACAGCGGCACAGAGGTGGCGCAGCGCTGCCGCGCAGGACCAAGCATTCCCAGGCCGCTCACTGGCTCTCGTCCGTTCATGTGTTGTGTGGCTGAGGCGGCTTGTTTGGAGTAAGCTGCTCATCTTGTCACCTTCAGTTCTTGCTTATGTCTGTTCACACACACACTCAGCACGTATCACGTTGCTTGGTTCGCACACGCAGAAGAGGGGTCAGGTGTGCTGCAGGCGAGGCCCCTTTTTGGCCCTCCTCCTCCAACCCCAGCTCGGGTAGCCATGTCCTCTATGCCGTTTGCTTCTTCCCAGCCAGCCCTTCCAAAAGCAAAGTTTTTTATTTAGGTGCTAATACAGCTGATGCCTACAGACCTTTGGTTTGTGCTTGCAGAGTAAAGCAAGACTAAGCTATTTCACCTGGATATCCATTTGCCAGGACAAGGAAGTGCCCTGACCAACTGGGTGGCAGCAAACGTCTTTCTAAGAGGAACTAGTTTTGGCTAGAAACTTTGAGAAACAGATGCCTTGGTGTGACTGCAATCTCCGTCTGCTAAGACTACTGCCACACAAGTACATCTGTTTAGAATCACGTGGTCAGTGCATTCAGTCATTCATTCAGTTGCATTCCCTTAATCCATGAGATACCATTGCAGTAAGGATATTCTAAGTTTACTGCTTTGGGCTTTTCCAGGTGCTTGGAAACCATCTTTGAGGAGCCAAAGGAGAAAAATGGATCTTTGATTTCCATTAGCCAGCAGAAGAGAAAGAGGATTTTGGAATTTCAAGACTTCACTGTTCCCAGGAAAAGGAAAGCTCGGAGCAGAGTCAAGGTGATGGGCAGTTTCACCAGGGCCCAAAAGGCAGCTTTGGAGGGAAGAGAACTGGATGTCCTTCTGATTCAGAAGCTAACAGACCTCGAAATGTTCTTTGCCAAGGAGGAGCAGGAACAAGCATCTGGCAGTTGAGGTTGGATCGCCAGCTGGAAGGGGCCGGGGCTTCCTTGAGCATTCCAGCGTGCCCAGGGGGACACCTTAGTTTTCCCATGCCAGCTGCTCAGCTGTGCTCAGCTCGCTTCTGGACCTGTCTGTCGTGGTCACAGAGATATTTTCTTCAACACTGGAGAACCACTAATTTCCTTGGAGGCTCTGTCTTTCTTCTCTGGTGTCGCTGGAGATTTACCTGTGGTTTTAAAAAATCCCCTGGGAAAATAATTGGGCAAATTAAAGGCTGAAATAATGCACCTTCACAGATTAAAGCATTTCAAGGACTTCCAGATGTTGTACACTGACTTGGATCTGCTGCTCTTCTCCAGTGGCCCCTCCAGATGTGACTGGGAGGTGAGGAACTAGGCGTGGTGAGCTTGTCTCAGTGGACTGCCGGGAGCCCTTTACTCACAAGGACCGCTTGCTGAAGCACGGCGAAAAATGGCACATGCGGTTTCCATCCTCTGCAGCCAGCGAGGCCCCTTTAGGACTCCTTTGTCCCCAGCCAGGTGAGACAGCAGGCCCCTGCCTTGACACCAGAGCACCAGCATGTTGCGCTCCGCTGCCCGGGGGCCCACGTGAGGTGCGCGTACTTGCTTTCATGCACTGTGGGGACCAATCGATCGATTGATCGATCGTCTGGAGTTCAGGGTTATCAGGAAACGACTTTAGCTGGTTTTGGTTTTCTCCGAGCCAAGAGGTGAGGGTGGGGCAGGGGCAGGGGCAGCAAGGGGGTGGCAGAGCTCAGCCCCCACTGGGCCCTTTCTGTGCCCTGAAGCTTGATGTGGGCAGTGGGGCACTTCAGCAGCAGAGACTTTCATTGTCCTTTAAGGAGGCTGCTGAGGCCTCGACGGTCTGCCAGATTTGGCTGCCCCTCCTGTCACGCTCCCTGACCCTTACCCTCGTCTCTTCCGTTCCTTCCAGGGTTGACCTGAGCAGGGCCTTCCAGGTTTTGCCCTTGCTATGCCAGGGGAACAAGTGACTAACAGGCCGGTGTGCACAGCATGGCCACCAGCGTGCTGCTGGGTCGACATGTGGGACTGGTGAGCAGCAAGGCGCCGCTTGCAGCCACTGGCAGGAAGTATGAGCCTTCTCCCCTGGTGGGACGACTGCCATGCTCTGGCGCAGTCCTTTCCCTTGGAACATTTCATATGGTCCGCAGTAGCCGCCAGCTGTCTGCAGGCCTGGACTTTGGACCAGGTTTAGAGGCTGAAACTCCTGCTGGTCACCTCCTGCTCTCTTCATCTTAAATTTGCACTTTGTACCTCCACCCCATGGGAACTCTCTGTAGCCCCCAGAATGCGTGCAGCCCTGACACTTAGCCAAGGATGGCTGCTCAGGCACTCCCCACAACGAAGGCACGGTTGTTTTCCTGCCATTCTAATAGCTTGAGCAGGACAAGGTGTTGAGAGCAGAAACGGCGTCACCTGGGGAACCCTGGGCCTTGAAACTGGAGGTATGTGCCTGAAATCGTGGACGCATTTCTGCTCCCTACACGTCATCCCCAGTGCGATAAAGATGCACCCGGAGAATCATTCCAAGAGCCTCGGCAGCGCAGCCATTTTCGTGGGCACATAGGTGACCCCTTCTCTTCGCTGCTGCATGCAAGTCCAGCCTTCCTCAGCCTGGCCCCACTCAAATGTGACGGACTGTGCCTCCCACCATTTTCATTCATCTTCGCCACAGGATTATAGGAAGTATAGTCTGAGACATCTAGAGGGCACTAGGTTGGGGAGGCTGCCCAAGACGATCAAACAATACCTTTTGGGGTCTGGAGATGTCTGAATCCCTCCAGTCTCAGTGAGGGCAGGGGGGTCTGTGCAGCCCCGAAGCCACCCAGCCAATGAACCGCAGTGGGTCAGTTGCTCATGAGGCAGCTGACAGTGCTCCCGGCAGCCTGGCTCAAAAGGGATTTCTCCCTCCCCCCAGTCCTGTTGCACGTTCCTGGCATCTTTTGGGGTGGTCTCCCCAAAAGTACGGCGCAAGTGTACCTCCAAGCCTCGGGGAAGAGTTGAAACAGCGCAACCGCCAGCATGGCCAGTTCAGCAGTTGAAATCAAGAGGGCCATGCTGCCTAGTGGGCGGTGCCGCCCCTCCTTTTTGTGTTTCTGCCCTCGCTGGAGCTTGTCCATGGACTGGCAAGGCGCCTGATTCCCCACAACTGGCTGCAGTCACACTTTCTACTGCATTGCCACAAGTGTGCACTTGCACACCTGTGGTGGACCAAGATGACGATGGTGATGATGACCGGGGCCTTTCAGTCCAATTGCACTTTCTTGAGGCTCCCAAAAAAAAAAAAAAAAAGCTGGGGAACAAGAGGAGGTCCTTCTGAGGTGTCCTTCGGCCCCTGCAGAAGGTCGGGGCCGGCGGGTCGAGGGAGCGAGTGGAGCAGCCATGCTGCTCCCGCCCAGCCGCTCCATCGGCATCCCCACCAGCCGTGAGAGAATTGCCCCGCCGGGTTTGGACCACACAACAGCTCCTCCTGGGTGTAGCCTCAGGGTGGCTTACTCGTGTCACAGGCCAAGGGGCAGGAGCAGTGCTTATCTGGGCACCACCGGAGCCCCCGCCCCCCACGGCTGCTTGCCTGTGGGGAACCACTGTGTCCTGTGAGCCTGGTCCACATTTCGGGTGTGCGGCGTTGGGTCCTCATCAGGCGATAGAGCCTTTTTGTCCCATAGTGGGATTTCATGGCAAAATACGTACATCAGGGCAGACTTTCAGATGGATGTTTCCGAGTCCATGGTCGGGATGACCTTCTTTAGCATAGGCCAGATGCTTCCTACACAGTCAGTTCGAGAATGTCTGTCGCTGTGTTTTGTGTGTACTTTTTTTGTTAGCGTCCTTTCCGCAACTGCAGGACTGTAACTGGGGCTGCGAGGACCGTGCTCGGCATGGTTTTCTCATAGTTGCCACATCCCTGATGTGGGCCAGGTTCTGTGGCAATCCCACCAGGGATGCTGTTTCGCCATTCTTGTCTGGGAAGGGGTTCTTTTCTCCCCGGATTGTTCATAGATTCAGCAAAGGCCCTGCGCTCCTGCTTCTTGGAGGACTCCACTAGGGCAACCGGTGGCGGGGGCTGGTGCAGGCGAGAGTGTCCGCTGCCCAGACTTCAGAAAGAGATGGTGAACGTGCTTCCTGGGAAGGCCTGCCTTCCGAGGAACTGTTTTGAGTTGGAAGCCGGATTGCTTTGCTTAATTGGTTTTCAGTATAATCACGGACATGATTCTACTCAGAATGTGCAAAAGAAATTCCCTTTTCCCGTTGAAGTGAAGGCAGCCCTAAGATATATTCTTAGAAGCACAGAGCAGAAAGCTTGGTGGCTCTGGTTTGAGGGGGCTGTGCCTGAATGCAGTCAGAGCAGCTTTGGTCTTGTGCTGCCATCTCGGCCTGCCCACCAGCGGCACAGCTCCGCCTGCTCCCTCCTCGCCAGCAGTTTTCACTGTGCTGGTGCGCCTGCATTCTGTCACTGGTGATACGGGGCTGACTGTTCAGCCAGCGTCCGAATTCTGAGCTCTGTGATAAAGCTCCAGCCACTCAGCGGTTGATGGCCAAGAAGCTGCTTGTAACAATGCTTGTTTTTAAGCCTTTTGCGCTAATTTAAAAAAAAGAATGAAAATTTGCACATTTTTGTACCAGTGGCTGCTCCCGTGACATCATCATGACTTGTTTTTAATTTCAGTAGTCTCTGAATTTTAAATTTCACTTTTCTTTTCCTGTACTTAAATTATGGAAATAAAACATAATATTTCAAATGTGCACCAAGGGAATTTCTTCTTTTTTATACCATTGCCTTTATTTAACATTTGAAAAAAGTACAAGGAAAAGGTGATTTAGAGAAGACAAGAGGCGATTTAACCACCTGAGATTAACCCAGGACCCATCAGCCAGGAGGCAAGCCAGACTGTTGGGCAATTGCAGGCCGCAGGGAGTTCACGCCCCACTGAACCCTGGAGGGCCCCCTCGGTTGGGGTCACGTGTGCTTCACCTCCGGAGGGCCACAACAGGGGTGCTGCTGGCAGCGTAGAGAACCGGCAGAGCTGCCCGCCGCAGAAAGCGCGCCTCTCGGGAAGCACGGTTAGGGTTGTGAAGAATACTCGCTTTTCCCAGTAAAGGATTCACGTGACAACAAAAATGGAAACCATATTTCTAAGAAGGGGGAACCGCTGCTCTGTGTATTTATTTGCTTGCTGAGCTTTGCACCCCCCAAGGCAGGCGAGAGGTACCAGCCTCTCGGGCCTGGCTCCCACCGGCAAGGCTTGCCCCAGGTTGGCGAAGAGAGCGGGATTGTCCTCTGCTTTGCCCCAAATTCCTGTGCAGCTGCCCCTCCAGGTGGAATTAGGTGAAACGGCAGGCAGTTAACCATCCGCCACTCGTGGCTGCTCCAGCCCTCGCCTGCCAGTGGGTCCTTTGCTGGCCAGCACGTTGCCTGCGTGCGGCGAGCCTCTTCCCAGCTGGAAGGCAGACTGCCAGGCGGCCACGTGTGCCGGATCGGACTGGCCAGTGTCTTGCCCGGCTGAGCAACATGCTGGCCTGAGAAGGCCAGGGCGCCGTGTGGGTATTCCCCAGGGCCATGGTTTTGCCATACGTGTCACCCACTCCCCAGCCACTTGGAAAGAGGTAGCAGCTTCGGCCTCGTGTACTGATTGCAGCTCGGCCCGTGGCTGTCGGGGTGGCTGTGTGAGAATGCTGCTTATTGAGTAGTCGTTGCTCTCCATTCGGTCCTCCCTTCAGCAAACTAGCTGTTGTTCTAGGACGGAACCGCTTGCCACGAACCAGTGGATGGCTGAAGCATGGTCTCTTTTAAAGGTTGTACTCAAGGTGTTCTTCAGCTTTTGTAAAACAAAGTCATATCTGGAAGTGCCCCAAAGAAGCCAGTGAAGCATGTACGTAAAGGGGAGTTGGATCTTGGGGTTGGCAGGATGCTGCTGGGAGCGGCAGGGGGTTTGCTCCTTCACACAGCTGGATAAGGTCCAACTTGTCTCTGCTTACTAAGGAAAACGGCCACAGGTAGAAATCCAAAAGTCCTCTTGCAAGTTTTGCATTTTTGGGGGTTCCTCTGGACATGATGTCACTGTGCTGAAGAGGCACAGCTGTCCGTTTTGCAGAAGTCCAGGATGCCTGAAAAGCAAGAGAGGACGTGTTTGTCTCGCGCACATACTTAGGCCTCTGCATGCAGGCGCACGGGCCGTGACTTCCTGACAATGCCCAGCGGCTTCTGCATCGCACTCTCCTCACCCAGTGCCAGGCACGGTGCACAGAGCGGGATCTGGGTTGCCTGGGCACGGCATTCGGCTTGCTGATTTGCGTGTGGAGCGCGCACAGAACACGCTGCTGATGCTCAGTAACAACACGGCACCTACGTCAGTTACGGCACAGATCCCTCAAAGATCCCCGTCATGCAGGACCCCCACCCAGCCAGCCTGGACCTTGAGCCCTGGGTGCTGCTCTGGACCTCGGGTGGGGGTGGGAAGGACCCTGCCCCCCTCGCTGCCTGAGGCCTTCCCCTATGAAACTGGGGGTGGTCTTGGGAGGTAGGGAAGGTGTGCTCCCTCCCTCCCTTCATGTGGAGAGGGAGATTTTAAGAGCACAAGGCAAACCTCGCTGACTAGAAGCTTTCAGTAGCTTGCACAGATCAGTTCCCCATCCTCCTCTTTCCTGACCCCAGCCAGTTCCCTGGAAGCTCTCTCTTCATGGTCAGGGTCTTTGCCTGGCTGCTCCTTCATCCCATTCTTTTAATGCACCAACATGCGGGTTTGGGAGTCTCAGAGCATTTAGAACCGGAGTCTCACAGGAGCAAGCTTTTCCTTCAAACAAACTGGTGTTCAACCACACAAGTTCATTCTAGGAAGGACAAAGACATTTCGGACAAGGCCCAAGGCTTCCCTAGCAAACAGATGGCACAGGTCAGAGTTGACTCTGGCGCTTCTAGCTCCACTCTACCAGTTGTTTGATATGGCCTCCAGATGTTCGACTGCAATTCCCATAGATCAATAGTCGTTCCGGCTGGGGCCAGTCAACACATCTGGAGGGCACCAGGCTGGGGAAGGCTGGATTACGAAAGGTTGCGGCCCAGCAATGGGGGAGCTTTAGCAGGGGATGGGCCAAATTCACCGAGGCGGCCCAGGAGAGCGGCTGTGGCGCGCCAGCGGCTGCGGGGCCTGGGCCGCAGGGGGAACAGATGGCCCAGCCGGAGGGAGCCGGCCTGTCCCGGCACCGAGGCTCTTCTGATGTGCTCCAGCGTGCTGCCACTGCACAAGCTCTGACTCCCTGGCAGATCCCACGGCCTTCCTTGGGCAGTGCTGCTGGCTGTGGCAGCCGGCCTGTAGTAGGAGGCACGAGGCCAACCCGGCCCGCATCTTCTTCGCGAGCACCTGGCTCACCGGCGGGTGTGCAGCTAAAGATGGACTCTGCAAGCTGGAGGAAGGCCTGCCCAAGGATGGCCTCGTAGTGCAGGTGGCTCACGGGGATGAGTCGCTGGGTGGCGTCTTTAAAGAGCAGGTCGCTTGCTTCATACTTCTGCGACTGAAAGAGCCGAAATGCAGCGGCCGTGCCCACCTCCTGAAGGGCAACAGGGAGAGCCGGGGTCAGTGCCACAAGCGGGCTGCCCAGGGCCGGCTGGTCTCCTATGTCCCTTTGCTCGCTCGCAGTATTTCTCCGCCACATCACAGCCAAAGTTCTCTGCACAAAGGAGGTTCAAGTGTTAAAAATAAGGTATGAAACCAGAAAAAGAGAATGACGTGATGAAACACTCCACAGCACACGGGCGCGGATGAAATCAAATCCAGGCAGGTCTTCCAATGTCAACAAGCCAGAAACTCAGGAAACCTTGATATCTGAGACCGTGAGGCCACGGAAAAGCCCGAAAGCAGCAGCAAAGCCTTTGCTGGGGCCCAGGCCAGGCCCAGGCAGAGCCCTCCATCCGCCCCCAGGGCAGCTGCACATTTAGAGGGACCCCAGTGAGGGAGCCAGGGCAGGAGAGGGCCCTCCGGGAGCCCCAGCCCCAGCCGTTTCGGGGCTTCAAAAGGCAACGCCGGCATGTCGACCTGCACGTGGAAGCAGCCTGAGGAGCAGCGTGGACGGCACTGCCCAGGCAGGCGACTCGTGGCTGAGCGCTCCTGTTCCGACTCACCCACCTGCGCTCCTGGCCTGGGCCCCCTGCAGCTCCCAAGTCAGCTCAAGGCAGAGGATGTTGCGGCGACTGAGTGGGAGATCGCCAGGGCAGTGGGCGCTGGGCAGCCCAGGCGGCCTCTGTCCAGGCAGGTGGCAGTCCGTTCACCCCAAGCCTCTCCAGGCCACATGTGCGGCTGGTGCCACTGCTGGGTCCCCAGCTGCAGATGATGCTGTGGGGGGGGGTGCCTGAGTGGAATGCCACTCCACTGGGCAGGCGAGCCTCCTGCCAGCAGCATCCATCTGCCTGGGCAGGGCCTGTTCCCGTGGTTTCGTTCAGCTGCAGAACAACCTGCACGGAGTTGCTTCTTCCTTAGCGATGTATACCTTCAAAGTGGCGAATGCCCTTGGAATGGTTTACAGTCAGAAAAACAAAACAAAGGAGACAAAATCCCCAAGCCAAAAGTGCAATAATAAAACCAGAAAAATAACACAGTATTAAACAGTTCTGTATCACCCACAGCCAAACCTTGCTCTAGCGTGTCAAGCTATCTCCCGCATGGTCTTCCTCTTCTCCAGCCTTCAACCATCCCTAACATGATTGTCATCTCTGGCACTCATTCTGAAATGAGTCTTGCCTTCTCATAATGTTCCAAAAGTATGACGGCTTCAGTTTTGCCATTTTTACTTCTAAGGAACATTCTTGACGGATCTGTTCTAGTCCCCACTTGTTTGCCGTATAATGGGACCTAGTTGAACTGTTACACCGGTTGCCCAGATCATGTGCCAAGGGTTGAGAAAAACTCCTCAGCACCAGCTTCCTCAACCATCCACTCAAGCAGGAGCAGAACTGCTGCCAGGGTGCCTGAAGACTCAGCCCACAGAGAGGATGGGGCAGTCCGTGGTGCTGGAAACCCTCCTCGTCCCTCTCTCTGCAGAGGCCAAGCCAGGCGGTGGCTGTGCCAAGCCAGGCCCACACGAGCCAACCATGAAACTGATCTGCAGCATCAGGAATGTCTCAAGCCTCTCGGCAGCCCTCGTGCCTCTCCGATTCTTGCCAGGCTGCTCAGCTCTGCACTTGCACAGATTCAGAAGTCTCATTGGAGCCAGATGAAAGTCAGCCAAAGGCGCACCAGCCCACCTGGGATAGCCATCTCGCCTGCCAGACTCAGGACAGCATTAAAGGAGCTGGAACAGGAGGCAGGGCGGCCTGGCTGACCACGCATGCGGACTGTTGGGGGACGGCATGGCACGGCATGGCCAGGAGCTCCTTCTGTTTCCGTGAGGTTCTGTGGGAGGGTCGCTTCCCGGACGCTTCAGCCTGGGCAGGGGTCTCTCTCCTTGGGGATTTCCAGCATAGCCTCATGTGCACTTTCTAAAAGATGGAGGGCTCAGCAGACCCTTGCGCAGGTCAAATAAATGGTCGTTGCCACAGAGCGGTGCTCTGCTGGGCCTCACAGGCTCCCACTCACGCATCGCGCGCTCTCAAATAGCACCAACACTCCATCAGACCGGCACCTCCAACTTTACCTGGGACTTAGCCAAGAAGTCGTAGACCCTGGCCACAGTCATTGGCCGCGCCACGACCACACTGGGCGGAACGGGGCCCAGGTTGCAGGTCTGCCAGTCCGTCACTGCTGCTCGGCTCCCGTCTGGGCACAGGAGCTCCAGGTCCCCTGCAGAGTATCCCGTTGCCCATCCTGAGCTTTTCAGGTCTGCACAGAAAGAGAGCGATGCAGTGACTTCCAAGGTGGGGTCTTTCAATAAATCCACGCTGTAAACAGGAGCCAATCCCCGTGGCTGGTTACTCTGAAAGTCCTGGATTCATGGAATCATAGACTAATAGGGCTGGAAGGGGTCTGTGAGGCCACTGCACCAGCCCCCTGCTCGATGCAGGACTCCCTGGCAGACGGCTGTCCAGTTTCCCTCACCCTAACCCTCCTGAATGCCTCCCCTGTGGGAGACTCCGCCACCTCCCTAGGACATCAGTCCCATTGCCGTGCTGCTCGGACAGCCAGGAAGTGTCCCCCGATGTCCAGCTGGAGCCTGACTTCCCACAATGTGAGCCCATTACTCCGTATCCTGCACTCCGGGATGACCAAGAAGAGATGCTGGTCTCCCCGGTGTGGCAGCCTTTCAAGGATCTGGAAAGTGCTGGCCTCTGTCCCTCCAGCCTTCTCTTTGCAAGGCTAAGCACGCCAAGCTCTTTCAGCCTCTCCTCACTGAGCTTTGCCTCCAGTCCCCAGATCCCCTTTGTGATCCTCTGCTGACCTCTCCCCAGTGCGTCTGCATCTTTCTTCGAGTGCAGTGCCCAGAATTGGATGCAGCCCTCCGGGCGAAGCCGAACTAGCAGTGAGCAGAGGGGAGCTAGTGCTTCAAGGGACTTGGAAGTGATACTTCTGTGAATGCAGCCTAAAACAGCAAGTGCCCTTTTTGCAGCCCCATCCCATTGTGGGCTCTTATTCAGCTTGGGATCCACAGCCATTCCAAGACCCTCCTCGCTTGCAGTGTCACTGGGCCAAGTGCCTCCCATCTGGCAACTGTGCCTTTGGTTCCGCCTTCTTGGGTGCAGAACATGGCATTTGGCCCTGCTGGATTTCATTCTGTTGCTTTCAGCCCAGCACTCCCACCTGCCAAGGTCACCTTAATCTTCTCTCTGTCTTCCAGGGGATTAGCTGCCCCACCCAGTTTTGTGCCATCTGACCAGCTTTCCCTGCAGCTCTTCATCAAGTCATTAATGAAAATGTTAGAGCTCTGGGCCCAGGACTGAGCCCTGCAGTGGGGACCCCCTGGGGGTCCCTTGCACTTGCCTGCAATGAGGCAGTCCACTGGGCGTCCCCGCGGGTCACACTGCACCACCTACAAGCAGCTTCTCAGCGTGGAGCAACCCACAGCTGGCCCAGTGCTCCGCTGGGCTCACCGTGGCTTGCTCTCCTGCTTCCTGCTCTGCCCTCCAGCCAGTGTCCCAGATGCGGGTCCAGGTGCAAGCTCTCACAGCACAGCCTCCCCCTCCCCTCTCTGGCCACAACTTCCCTTTTCTCTCAGGGCCTCCCCCAGTGGCAGCCGCTCTGCCAGTGCGCAGGAGGCATGTGGGAGCAACCATCACTGACTCCTTTGCCTAAGAAAACTACAGAAACAACAGAGCGAGTCGGAAGGGGCCTCCCAGGCCATCTTGTCGGCCCCCAGGTCCAGCCGACTCCACTCGTGACATGCCAATTTCTTAAGACAGAATTTCTGTAGGCTTCATGGTTGTGCCCATGCACTCTTGCAGCATTCCAATATATGCAGTTCTGCCTTGTCTGTTGCCTTCTTACACTCAATATTCTGGAGCAGGTTATGGTGTTCCAAGAAAGCCACATCGCCGAAACTTCTTCCATGGGGGTCTCCAAAGAGGCACCTTGAAAAAGGAAAGTGGCGCCAAGCCAGCAAGCATTAGTCCTGATCGAAACCGGCCGAACACAGTGCAGCTGCACGAGGTCCTGGCTCGGGCCACTAGCAGGCCCGGCCCCAGCCGCTTCCGGCCGGGCTGGGACCCATGGCCTCCCCTCAGCTGCGCCCCAGCCTGTGAACCGAGGGACCTGACCTGGGACTGAGCTGGCCTTGGAAGGTGTGGTGGAAACTCTGCTGATGCTATGATGACCCTCTTGAGCTTCTTGCCGAATTGCACGTATTGCAGCCAGTGTCGAAAGCGCAAGGAATACCAGCACCCTTGTGTCAAGGTTGACAATCCCGGGCGTGGGGGGGCAGTTGCTGGGGTGCGGGCTTCTGGAGGACGCTCTCCCATATCAGCCGGCTCTATCGGGGGCAGGGAAGGGAGAGCAGCCCTCCCAGTGTCGGAAGCAGGCTGCACACTGGCACGAGACGAGCGCAAACACTCCAAGATGGCACTGAAGTGTAACTGTTCAAGAGCCAGCTCTTGGCGTTCCTGCTGGAACTTTGATGCATCAGCTTCAAGGGGGTCAACAGGAAGGGGGTTCTCTACCTTCCCCAGCCTGGAGTTGGGGTACGACTCCCAGGAATCCCAGCAAGCAACCGTGCCGGCTGGAGATTATAGAAGCTGTGATCTGACTCATCTGGAAGGTGTGGGCTGGGGAAGGAGGTCAGCCAAGCAAAGTCCATTTTTTCTTCTACTTGTGACAGTGCCATGACTGAAATCCCTTTTAAATGGGAAAGTGCACATTGTCTGATTAGTAAGATAATTGTGATTTGAGTTACTATTTAAAACATCAGGGCTGACCCATCGTTTTGTGGTGGTGGTTGTTGTAACACATCACGGCCAGGGAAGCCCCGGCCGAGCCTGCTGTGGCACTGGAGGGCACCCTCACCTTGGCCTGGGGCCTAAACCCTGCACGGGCCGCCCAGCCTGCCCGGCATCCACCTTTCTCAGGAAGGGGGGGCAGGTGGCAAGCAGCCAAGCGCTCCAGGGGAGCCTCCGCGTCAGTCCAAGCACCAGGGCCGGCCTTCTCAGGCAGCCTGCCAGGCATCAGCCACGGAGGCCTGGCCCGGGGTTCCATGGGCAGCCCCTCCTCTGACAGCATGGGGAGGAACAGTCTCTCCCGCCACGCGGAGATGGGGCCAGGGCGCGTTGCCTCGGCTGAGGCCAGGGCAGGATGCGCCCTCTCCCCGTCCAGCGGCCTTTTGCCCTCACGCTTCCTCATGATGTTCGGATGCTTGCAACCCGAAAGCGCGCACCATGGTCGGAGGTTATAAATATAAAGCTACAAAGGCTCCTGAGAGGGCAGCCAGTCAAGCCCTGGGGGCCGTGGAGACATTTCAGCCTCCACAAGGGCAGCTTCAGGGGACGTGCAGCTCAGCAAGGAAAGGACCCGGCCACCTCCACTCAGAGCTTTGAACGGATGGCTGGATGGACAGGATGACCGCCCGTCACCGGCCATTTCGTACATCGCATATGGGCTCAGGCACGAGCGGCTGGGACTGCCGCACTTTGCAACGGCAGCTGCTGAGCAGAGCCGAGGCCTCAACCGCAGAGCAGCCGCTCTGTGAGGCCGCCGCGGGCGTTGGGCTCGCTCCGGGTCCATCGTGGAGGGGGGGTCAACATTGCATTGCCGTGGATCTCAGCCTTCCTGCTACCTCTGCCCAGGCTGCCTGCATCTCATGTCTACGCGGGGGATCTCCACACCTCAGACACTCCCCGCAATGCAGGCAGGCAGCATGGCTCCTGCGGACACTTCCTGGCGCCTGCCATGGGGCTCGAGCCCCACAAGGAAAATGTCGGCTGCATCCTCTCCCGAATGCCTGGGACTGCTGCGGAGGGGGTGCTCCCGGTGCTGGGAGTGAGGCTTCAAGGGAGAAGCTTGGGGAGCTGGGGCTCAGGTCCCACTTGCCTGGGAGGCAAGCATTTGTCCTTTGCCACCCCACTCCCGGCACACCTTTTCTTGGGGTGTCCAGGACGGTCTCTCAGTTTGTCAGGTGCTATTCTTGATGCTACATATTTCATTTCATTTATTCTTCTTATTAAATTCATATCCTGCCCTTTTCCTGCAAGTATCCCCAATCAGTTCGTATAACGAATCTCCTCCTCTCACCTGGGTTGTCACAACAGCCCAGTCATGCCAAGGGCCAGCAAACTTGGTGGCCACACAGGGACCCGAACCCAGGACTTCTGAGCAGCGGTCCAGCTCTTTTGAGACCACAACTGTCCCACGTCGGACAAGGGTGGAATTTGGTCTCCTTCGCAGCTCCTAAGAGTCCAGTCATGCTGGACATGTTTCAGACATGCGTGCTGTTGCTAAGCGAGGGCTCCTCAGCACATGGGTAGGCCAGCATAAACATAAGGATCCAGCCACATCTCCCCGTTGCTGCAGGCCTGAAAGTCAGGCAGTCTGGGGGAGGCCATGCAGGCGTGTTGCGTAATGTATATTATTAAAGGGTCTGGGGAGCGTAAGCGTAAGAAAATCAACCGGAAAACACGTTTGTTCAATGGACAAAACGACTTGGATGCTTCTGGCGCCGAGTGGCCTGCATTGATTGTATTCCCCACGGTCTGCAGACTGCCCAGGGACGGACGGCGGTGGAAAAGGTGCATCCAGCAACTGTCCCTCGAACCTCTCCAAACAGCAGCTTGGAACTAACTGCAAGTTCTATGGTGAGGAACAGCCCCCCATCCTGGCTGAGATAAGCCCTCTTCCTGCAGAGGACAGATGCAAAGGCTCCCAAAGATCTGAACAGGCATTGTTAAATTTGGTCGTGGTATGAAGTTTGCTGGATTTTGCGCATGACGTGAAGGGCGGCGGCGGCACACTCGGCTGCCAGACTTCAAGCCGTGCAGTTGATTCGCCGGCTGTCTAGATTCGTCCCCGGCAATGGGAGGGAAGAGGGTGGGCGCCAGGAAGACTGTGCGTAAGGCAGCACCCAGCCGTCCCGCCACCCCCCGCAAGGCCCAGAGAGGCAGCTGGTGTGATCCTTTCCGTACTGGTCAGGGTTCATCTTTTGGTATCCCAGCTCCGAGGTCTCTGGACGTGGGAGCCGGGGCTTCAAAAAATCCTGTGGCCCCCAAGCAGCACTGGGGGGGCCCTTACATGGAGCCCCGGAAAGGCTCGTGATGTTAAAACTTGCAACAGAAAGTGCCAGGCGTGTGTGCTTCACCGAGCTGGTTTTTGCCCCATCGTGCCTCCTTCAGTCACTTCCTAGGAAAGGGGGCTTCGTGAAAGTACCAAGCCACAAGTGCATTGACAGAAATATATCCAGTATTTTTGGGGATTCCTAAAAAAGTAATCCTTTTCAGTAAATTTCAATAAATATATGGAGATATCTTGCTAAATGCTAGTATTCTTTTTCTTTTATTTGCAGTTTTTAACATACTGTCAGTCGGAGTCGACATTCACCACCTGTTCTGCTCAGCATGTCTCTTGGCCAGGAACCCGCATGTGTCTCAGGGGAGGGAGATGCGGAATGATGGAAAAGCAACATTCTGGCAGAAGCAAAAGGATGCAGAGCAGGGAAGTGGTGCAGCCTCAGAAAACTCGAGGTCACCCTCAGCCCAGGTGGTTCTCCGGGTCTTTCATGAGGCGCTGCAGCCCTTTTCATCCTCTGGCCATTGCAAGAGTTAAAAGAGCATCCTTTTTAGCCTTACATTTAATAATTGCTGCCAAGGAATTGAACGGAAGGCGTGGCAGCAGCCACCGCTGCGCGACACAGTCAGACTCACCTGAGGGCACCCAGGTTGCCGTAGTAGCGCTCATCGTGATGGGCGGCACACCTGGACGAAGGCTTCTCACCCTCCCGCTCCGCTGGACCGATGCAGACCTTGCAGAGATTGCCCCCTGCGCCCGGCATGCAGCCCTTCCAGAAGTACTCCTGGTAGGCTTCGGGGAAGGAGGAGGGCCGGTGTTACCCACTTTGCCCCCCTCGCCCGCAGAGGGCCCGCCATGCAGCTGACCCTGGCCGTGGGCAGTGGGTCGGAGCAGCTCCAGCAAGCGCTGGACTATCTTCTGCTACTCCACTGACTGTAACTATGGAGCGGGGGGGAGGGCTCTTCCCCGAGATGCACTGATGTGACTGCAATGCTGCCTGGGAAGCAGCAGGGGACGGGAGAGGCAGCACCCAGGGGCTGGCTGCCTCTTTCCTTCTGCCGTGTTCCCGGCCCATGCTGAAAGGACCGAGCCGACTCCAGCCCTTGCCAGCCTGCAACCAAGCAACCGCCTCTCTGAGCGTCTCTTCGCAAGGAGCTCATTGTGCTTTCTGCTTAAATGGCAAGCAGGGGCCATCTCTCTAGGAACGCAAGAGCAGCCGCCCTGGACCAGGCCCAGGCCTGTCCCCTCCAGCAGGTCGCTCACTCAGAGGCAAGCCAGCCACCCACAGACCGTGTGCCACCATGCCACGCTGTGGCCTCACCACAGCTTAACTTTTGAAAGATTCCGGGAAGAACAGACAACCCTGTTTCTTGCACAAAAAGCAGAGGGAGCTGAACCCCAAGGGAGAGGAGGGTGCAGCGTGATCCCCTCTTTCTGAGCCGGGACCGTCCTGTCTGCTGAGCAGATCCTGCTGCCTTGCTTACCAGAGCTGAGGCTGCAGGGGGTGGAGTCGTCCCCCGGAGCCCTAGCAGTGTAGCGGGAAGGGAGCAGCCAGCCGGCCGGGCTGTACACGTGGCTGTGGCAGGAGCGCCTCCCCTGCAGATTGCGGATGCTCAAGTGCTTGGCGGCCTTCTTCACCAGGGCGATGGCGTAGCCTGGAGGGAGCGCTGCGTTCCAGAAACAGGCTGTCACTGCAGGGCAGCACGAGGCACCCAGACGTTTCGCCTGGGCAAGGCACTCGAGCGGGTGGTGGCGGGACAACTCCAGGCACGCTTGGAGGAAACTGGCCATCTAGACCCACTTTAATCTGGCTTCAGGCCTGGCTATGGGATGGAAACTGCCTTGGTCGCCCTGTAGGATGACCTGTGCAGGGAGAGGGACAGGGAGTGTGTCCCTGTTGGTTCTCCTGAACCTCTCAGTGGGTTTCGATACCATCGACCATGGCATCCTTCTGGATAGGCTGACTGGGTTAGGAGTTGGAGGAACTGCTCTGCAGTGGTTCCGCTCCTACTTGGCTGACCGATCCTAGAAGGTGGTGCTGAGAGATTGTGGCTCTGTGCCATGGCAGCTTGGCCTTGGAGTTCCGCAGGGTTCCATCTTATCCCTCATGCTTGGCAGCATCTACATGAAACTGCTGGGAGGTCATCTGGAGGTTTGGGCTGTGGAGTCATCAGTATGCTGATGACACCCAGCTCTACCTCTCGTTTACATCCAATCTAGGTGTTGGGCAGGGGCCATCCTTAACCAGTGCCTGGCGGGGGTGATGGGCTGGATGAGGGGCAATAAACTGAGGCTTAATCCAGATAAGCTGGAGGTCCTGCTGGTGGGCAGTTCAGGCTTCTGAGTAGCTGATTTCAGCCCTGTTCTGGAGGGGTTGCTGTCCCTCTAAAGGACAGGATGTGCAGCCATTTCCTCATTCCACAGTTCAACCAGAGCATCAACAGGAGCGCCAGCTTTATCAACCGGAAAATCCCCCAGTGCCTTCAGGAATCCATCCGGATCCATCTGGCTCCGAGGGTGGACCACCACAATAGGGTCCACACCCTTACAGAGGGAAAGGCCGGCATCGCGCTCAAACCTCACGAGGAAGTGATCTGACCATGACAAGGGAGTCAGATGCAAATTCCTCACCCTTCCTGCCCCGTCGAGAAAACCAGGTCCAGTGTGTGTCCACGTTCATGGGTTGGGCCTATGACATGTTGAGACAGCCCCATGGCCGTCATGGAGGCCATGAAGACCTGAGCCGCCCTGGTCAGAACAGTCTCGGCATGGAGATTGAAGTCCCCCAGGACCAACATCCTGGGGGTCCTCAACACCAGGTCCAAGACAATCTCCGTCAGCTCAGGCAGGGAGTCTGAGGGTGTTGTGAGGCTGTAACTCACATCTCCAATTAACTCACACAGCAGCCGGCCATAAAACTAAAGACTTTTATTGCTACTTTCTACAAGAGTTACCATGCAACAGATAAGCTCTAGCGGAGAGCTCCTAGCAAGACAGTTGCCCCCTCCTTTCTGAACTATCTGAGAAGCCCACGTGGGATTAGATTTTCCTGCCACGTCTTTCCGTTCGTGGGTGGGGCAAACTTCTGTCCTGTCTTCTCAATTGGTCCAGACGCAATTGATCTAGATGCCTTAAACTCCGCCTAAGTTGGGCATTCGCTAGATTTACTGTTATGTCTTCTTGTTCTCCTGAACTCTGCCCAGCAGCTTCAGAGTCGGGGGCGGGGGGGCAACTTGTTCAAGCACCTCAGAGTCAGGATGAGGGGAAGCTACTCGTTCAGAAGCCTCACAGTCAGGCTGTGGGGAGGCTATTTGCTCAGAAGCCAAAGAGTCAGGGTGTGAGGGGGCTCCCAGAGTCAGGCTGCAGGGGACCCTTTTGGGCACTGGGCCCCAAGTATAAGTCCCCTTGTTCCAGTGCCCGATTCTCACTGTGAATGTTTGAGTCTTTCTCGCGAGTCGATGTCTCTGTCGAGCCGTCAGGCACGACACATGGGCAGAAGGGTGCACGGTACACCAGCAGAATCCCCAGTCTGTTTCGATCGCCCAGTGCCAGGTATAAGCACTCTAGGCCTGGTCTCAAGGGAACGGGAAGCCCCGCGAGGGAAATTGAGGCTCGGTGAATTAAAGCGACCCCCCCTCCCCTCCCCTCGGGACGTGCCTGGTGCTGGACCAGATACCCGGGCGGGCACAGTTGAGAGAGGGACACATCCCCCCCCTCCCGCCCAGGTCTCTGTGATGCAAGCCAGGTCGGCCCCCTCATCCACAATTAGGTCGTGGATGAGGGATGTTTTATTATGGACTGACCTGGCATTGAGCAGCAGCACCATCAGGCCCGAGGGGCGGTTGATAAGCTTTCCCAGAACCTTCTGGTGCTCTGGTAACTTCTCAATTAGACTACTGTAACGTGCTCTACATGGAGCTGCCCTTGATGATGGTCCAGATACTTCCGTTACTTCAGAACAGAGCTGCCAGGCTGTTAACGGGGACTGGCAGGTACTCACATATAATGCTGGTTCTCTATCGGTTGCACTGGCTGCCAATTGAAGTCTGGGCCGAATTTAAGATGCTGGTGATTACCTATAAACCCCTAAACAGTTCGGGTCCAGGATAACTGAAGGAACACCTTCTTCCCTTCTCTGCAGTGGCACCCCTATTATGGAATACGCTCCTCAGAGAGGTTCGGCTGGTGCCAATGCTTTATTATTTTCAGCACCAAGCAAAACTCTTTTTATTTTCTCCTTATTTTAAAGTTTAATTGGTTTTAAGGTGGTTCTATTTATTGCAATTGGACGCTGTGCTCTATTTTATCTTATTTTGTCTCGTTTTTATTGCGAAACCATCCCAAGTCACTCGCCTTGGGTGGTATAGAAAAGCTTTTAATAAATAAATGAATGCATCTCAGAGCAGCGCCTGGGCACTCGGTGGCGCAGCCATCTTTGCCGCGGGGGGGCACTCGGGGCGCGGCCTGGGGCAGGCAGGTGGGAGGCAGCGAGCCTGCCGGGCAGGGGGGGCACCTTCTGCGGAGACCTTTTCTGCGCGAACGTCCCTGCAGGGGCCCATGTGGCTCTGGGGCAGCTGCCTTTGCGGCATTTGGGGTTTACAAATAAAAACAAGCAAAAAGAAAAGAACATCACCATAAAAAGAACAGTTACACACAGCGTTTTTCAAAATTCCCGGAGCTTTTCAAGCCCGGGACAATAAAAGGGGAACTGCCTAGAGCCACGAAGGCAGCAGGGGCTCGTGCCAAAAGAGGGTCCCTTGCGCCCCCCCCCCCCCGATCGGCCACCACAGGCCCCGGGCCTCGTGCAGCCGCGCCACCGAGCTGGGGGCAGGTTCACCCTCTGTCGCCCAGAACGCGCCCCCCCCAAAACGCCCACTTACTTGCGTGGCCCGCCTGCCTCTCGCTCCCGTCTTCCTTCTCGGCCTCAGGACACTCTTCCGCTGCAGAACAGACATCACCAGGTCGCGGTCACACACGGAAAGCGGCGTGGGGCTGTGGCGTCGCTGCGAGTGAGTCCCCAGCACAGCCATGCGGCACTTCTGACCGTGGCCCCGCCACAGGGGAGCACCTCCGCCACATCTCTTGCAGGAGGAGGCCTTCCCTGGCCACCAGGACCCCACGCTGTTCTGTGGGGGGGAGGCCCACATGGAGGGAGGCCCGGGCAGCTCCCAACATTCGTTGGTACCACCTGGTGGCTGTTCCAAGTTCAGTGGGACCTCCTGGGACAGGCTTCCTTTGAAGAAGCACCCTCCAGATGGGCTGAACTACAACTCCCATAATCCACACCAACCTGTCTGGGGACAATAGGGGTTGTGGTCCAATACCTCTGGGGGTGGAGGGACAGATTGGGAAAGCTGAACTAGAAGAAACAAGGTCAAAACAGCAATGTATTTCGTGCAACCCAAGAAGGCCTCTGAACTGAACGGGGCTGGCAGGCTCCACGCTTCCCATGCGAGGGCTTGGCACGCCACATCCGCCACACCTGCTGACGCCCTCGTGAATGGGCACAGAAGCCAGTGATCCACAGCCGGGCACGCTCAGAGAGCAGAGCTTCTCCCCGAACAGCACAGTCCTGCCTGCCACCATGCGGGGCCGCCATGGGTGCGGGGCATGCACCTGAGCGCCCCCTTGAGCAAAGGAGGGGGACGGGGCACGGTGCAGAGCTGCCCTCTGCCCGGGCCCCAAGGCCGTTTGGCTGCCCTGGCCGCAAAACAGTCAAGCCAGCTGCTCCCGGCCCCAGCCCAGAATGCGATGCCCGGCACAGCCTTCTCTCCAGCACAAAAGCTCCATGTCCCCCAGCAGAGCCCCTGGCAGCGACAGGGAGCCTCTCTGGAAGGAGGCGCCCCGAGCTGTCCTAGCGCCTGCCACCCCCACCCCCGAATCTCCCAGACAGTCCATGAGGTCACCTCTCCCAACATCCCAGGTGAGAAACATTCACCCCACAGCCCCCAGATCTCCGGCTCTCTTAGAGTACGTGACATTCCCTGTTTACAGTGCCCTGAGTCTTCTCACTGTGAGCCAAATCAGGCCCTCCTGCAGCCTTGGTGCCCAGCTCTCCTTGAATCATCACCTGCTCGGGGCAGCCCTTTGTCTCAGCCAGTCGTTAACTTGTTCCCCATTGAGACAGAAGGGGAAACTCACTAGACAGGTCACAAAACAGATCAGTCACTCAACAGGCTGATACTGCATTAAGAGCCCACATCTCCTAGGCATGTGCAGTGCATCCAGCTCAAAGCTGAAGTGGAACGAGGCCACTTTAGTCTGGTTCTGTGAGCTCCTCGGGAGAAGCAGCCACCCCACGAAACACACAAACCAAAGCCCCTGCAGAAGGAGGCGGCAGGCCTCTTGGACCTCAGCCACAGCTCAAGCACAGCCGAGTGCCTGGGTGGTCCCCCTTCTGGTCCCGCGGGGGATGCAGTCGCTGTGCCTCGGGGAAGGCGAGGGTGGGCCCATGAGGTGGCCATTGTCCTGATGCGACCAAGCTTCAAGATGAAACATCTTATGGTCTGAAGCACCATCATTCTCTCGGCCCCGCACCAATCCTTCTGAAACTTGGGAGGTTTCTGCACTCCATACAATGCATGCCACTTTCTTTCAAATTGACCCAAAATCGCAGAAGTGTGTATACGAAGCTAATCGCTACCCAGTTCCTAATTGAGAACATTCTTGTCCCACGAGCTGCTGCACCTGCTGTTCTGAACCTGTGCAGTTTCCAGGCTTATCTGGCACGTCTGGTTGCTGCTAATTTTCAGAGCAAAAGCCACAAGGTGGCAAGTAGAGCAAAGCTTGTCTGGCACCCAACCCCGTTTGCTGTGCTTGATCTCCTCAGAAGTTTGCAACTATCCCCGAAATGTTCACCCAGTTCTGCCTAAGAAATAACAAGTTATGCAGTCCCCTTTTAAAAAACCAAACTCAAAATAGGACAACCCCCATCACCTCTTTTGCTGACAGCAAGCCCAAGGGCCACCACGCAGACTACGGGACTATCACATGGGCCACTATCATCCGGTTTTGACTAAGAGAAAAAAATCTATTGCCATTTTTGAAATTCCCTGTGATAGTTAATGGGAAGCACAAAGCCTTGATTTTCCAAACTGCTGTAGCAAGTCAGCATGGGCACATTCCAACTCCATCCCAGCACAGTGAGCAGAGCAGCACAATGAGGCCCAAGCTGCGGCAGCGGGAGGGTCCTCATGCCGAATCCCCCTTTGCGGCTGGTGCCGGCGACCCCACGGCCAGCCTGCTGCTAACGCTCTGGAGCCATTCCCCTGGAATTCTCAGGCGCTGTTCCTGCACCCTTTTATTCCTTGTGTGCCCTCGCCGTGGCCTGTGCGGCACGATGCGACTGGGGCCCTTCCGGCACGGCTCCCGCACCGCAGCAGGCTGGAGCTGGAGCTCGCGCAAGAGGAAGCCCGCCGGTCAAAGCACTTGTTTCCAGATCGGGACAGGGCAGCGAGGCCCTGCTGCCGAAACAGCGTGCTTTCCTCCGAACCAGGAAACCAGTGGCGCCTATCCAAGATGTGGCAGGTCTGATCCTGAAACCAGCAGCTTTCTGCCCTTTATCTGTTTACTTGTTTCTTGTGTTTTTAATGAAAATTGAGAGAAATACAACGAAAAGAAGCAAGCAAGCTCACCATAACATTCTGCAGCAACAGGACGTAGGCCACACTTGTCTGCGAAGTAGGCATGTGTTGCATCCAGCGTAACGGCATCTGCCCCGTTGTTCTGCCGTACAGAGAAAGGGGCCGGTTAGCAATCTGACACCTGTCTTTGGAGCTGTGGAGTTCCTGCCTCTTTTCTGCCATTACCACGTTGGCCTGGGAGTCAGTGGGACTGGGAGACCTTTAAACTCACATTTAGAAGTCTGAGTCTACCCCTGTGGTTTTTCACAGGTGACTTGTCACTTGAAGTTTTCCTGACTTTAAGGATTAAGAATGCCCCATAATACCTGGTGATGTGATACAGCAATAATTTCAAGAGATGAAACATTGGTTTGAGCAGACATGCATCTGGAGAGCTTGGCTAAAAGAAGTTGATGTCTGTGTTTCACAGAAATATTAAGACAAAAAGGTGCTTGCTGCATGCCCTGGATTCTTATGGAACAGCCAGTTCTGCTTTATTAGGCCAGTGGGGAAGGCCGTTAAGAAAACGATAAGCAATCACACTTAAAACAAGGTAAGGTTCCTTATTATGAAATGCAAACCTTTACTGATAGTTAATTAAGAATTGGAAAATATAAATAAGTAAACAGTGGAAACTGAATTAAAGAAAGATACATAAAGATGCATCCAGCTGCACATGCACTTCTGAGCCACTGGCATCTCACACAGTTGCCAGGTTGGCCAGGAGCCACAGAAGGTCAGAGATGCAGTAGCACAGAAGCAGGGTGAGTGGGAAGGGGCCTCCTGGGCCATCTCATCTGACCCTCGGCTCCAGCCAGCTCCACTCATGCCATGCCCAACATGTGGGTGTCCAATCTTTCCTTGAACACCCTTGCTGATGGGGCCCCCACCACTTCCCCTGGAAGCCCATTCCATACCTGAGGGGTCCCAACCATCAGGAAGAACTGCCTGACATCCAACCTGAAACCAGGTTCCTTTTGCTTTGCCCCACTGGATTGACTGCATCCTTTCCTCCACTGCAGGGGAAAGCAGGTCACCGCCCTCTACCTTGTGGCACTCCTTCCTATACCTGCATGTCACTATAAGTTCCGCTCGGAGTCTCCTCTTCCCAGTTCCCTCAATCTCAACTCATATGTCATCCCGCACCAATCCGGCTACCAGCCTTGTGACCCTGCACTGAACTGATTCCAGCCTAGCTATGTCTTCCTCATAATGTGTAGCCCAGATCTGGACACAGGACTCCAGTTGTGGGTGCACCAGAGTCTTACAGAGGGGCATTGGCACCTCCCTAGACCTGGCAGCCATGGGGTGGTGTTAGTCCTGGCTCATGTTCAGGCTGCTCTCAACAAGTACCTGATTCACATAACAAATGACTCCATAAAGCCAGAGTTGCAAACATTGGAACAGTGGTGCCCACACATGTCTGCCTGACATGTGGCAGAACACTCCGTGCCCATATCGGCCTTATCAGCCACCTGCGGACACACCGTGGACAACTCACAACCTGTTAGATGTCAAGGTCCACATCGAAAATGATGGACGAACATCATACACTGAAGTTTAATTTGCAAATGTTGAGTAAGGAGAACAGCAAGCCACCCCCTGATCCCTGGAGGAGCCCCCGTTGAGCGACGGGGTCTGCAGGCAGTGCTCTGACCCAGAAGCCCCCTTGGCAGCCCACGTGCAAGGACCTGGGCCTGCTGCCTCTCTCGGGTCAGAGAGCCGCTGCCAGGGGGACGATGGGCTTGCTGGTGGGCAGGAAGGGAGGGGCCAGAGGCCAGGATGCGAGCTGCCCTGCACCCCTGCCAGCCTGGACGGGACTTGGGGGGGAGGGGGCTTCCGCCACTCCCGGTGCCTGGGGCTCCAGCTGCACAGCACTGAGGGGCACAGAGTCCTGCAGGGCAGGGCATCCCCGGGGCCGTGGGAGGGCTGAGCCTCACCTGTGGACCTGGCGGTTGACTTGCTTTCGGAAATGGCACCTCAGGGATCTTTTCAAAGGTATGATTCAGAATTGACCATATACCCTAAAACGAGTATGTGTAAGCCGTTTGTGCATGTTATTTTTTCAGGAACGTGAGGTTAATGAGACGGTGTACCTTAATTGATGGGACCATAGATAATGGGCAGGTTCTCGTCAGGCACTAACCTACCCTGTGATTAACCGGCAGAGGCCGGCCGGCCTGCCTGCCTGCCTGCAGAACGATTTCCGGTCACAGGTTGCTCTGCAGCCCAGGTGCGGAACAGCCTGATGAGCAATGGGACCCCCGTGGGTTCCACTTCCGCCCCTCTCCCCGCCGGCCTTGCCTCTTCCCCCTGCCGCATCCGAAGGCACTCGTCCGCTCATGGTCCCTTCCCTGCTTTAGTGTCCCCAGTAGCTCCTCTCCTTACCTCTGGAGGGAGAGCCAGTGGTGCAGGGGCTGCCCCTATTTCACCAGCCCCTTTGGTTTTTGAACACAAGAGATTTTCACAGCGTTTTGTTGCACCCCATGCTTGCTGTGGTCCAAAACGGGAAGGCTTGCCTGCGCAAGGTCCCGGGCTGGCTTGCTTCCAGCTGCCGCAGCCACACACATGGGCCCAAAAGGCTGCTTTTCGCTTCGGACTCTGCAGCAGCTGTCGAAAAGCGAGCTGCCAAAGGTAAGGGAAGCCATGGCGACCCCACGAAAGCGGACCAGCGGCTGAGCCGATCACCTGCCCCAAGTGACATCCCCTCAGTTTCTTAGCCTGCCTTTCCCCACCTCCCTTCCACAGGTCTCTGGGCACCTGGGCTGGTGGGGAAGCACGGGCCACCCCAGGTGTGGGAGCCGTTCATTTTGGCAGGAGCGGTCAACATGCAAGCTTCCTTTTAACATGGAGCCAGGGTGGCTTGCTTGCCACTTCCCTCAAACCATGGTGGAGCCAGTCCCCGAGGTCCAGAAAGCACAACTCATTGGGCATCCAACAAGGGCAAAAGGAAACGAGGGGCCGTCTGCACGGTTTGCGGCCTGCAAAGCAGCCACCCTGTGGGGAGTGGCCCGAGCTCACCTGACACAACAACCCGATGTAGCTTGTTGCCCACAGCCAGCCGTGCGAGCCCAGCCAGCACTAGCCCTGTGGCGGTTTCCACGCAGAAGGGCACTGGGATCAGGATGTGCTTGGAGAACTTCCCATGGGAACCCCACTAGGGCTGCACAGCTGAAGAGCGTCTCCAGGGCGACTGGGGAGCTCAGCCCTTAGAGCGAGATCTCTCCACTGCAATCCCGAATCAGAAGTCCAAGAAGTCTAGGAAAGGCTATTTCCTGTTACGCTGTTAGGAAGCTGGCGATTAAGTCTGACAATGAGGAATGTTTTTAGTTTATTTTATGCAGGCTATATTTTGATGCATTGTGTCAAGTATATTTCTAATGAAATAAAAATGAATCAAAAGTTGTTCCCCTTGCTAACCTTGTCAGTACAATCCTAAAACTGAATCAACTCAAAGCAGTGTTTTGGGTGTGCTTTGTTTAAAGTGTGTTGCTCAGCCATAAGCCATTATCTGGCAGCCACTGGAACGATAATCTGGAAGCATTCAGCAAGAGCCAGATCCACAGCCTGAGCAGGATATTACCTCTTTGATTAAACATTTTGATAGAACCTTTTCATTTCACCTGAAAAGGTGAATGGTCGTTCAAGGAGCAACCCTCCGCCTTTCTGATGGTGTCCGCGGGGCTGTGTCCCCTGTCCTGAGAGCTGAGCGCACAGACTGGCCTCTGAGCAGTGGATGAGGGCTCTGGCCCCACTTCCCGTGGCAGGTGATACAGGCAGACCTGCTCCGGCCTCGCTCCAAGGCTGGGAAAGTGCCCTTGCAGAGGAAGAAAGGGGCCATTTGGGAGGAAGGGGAGGAGACTGTGGGGCCACGATGCAAGCCAGTCTGAACTCCACCAGGCCCTCCTCTCCTGCTCTGGTCAAAAGCGCCTGTCCAGACAGAGGAAATGGCAACCAAGAAGGGTCAACCTTGGCCGAGGTTTTGGCAGAAGCGTCAGCCATCGCGGCAGACTGAAACTGCTTTGTTCCTTTTTGTCCCGTTAAAAATGCAGAGCATTTGCCCCTCCCTCCCGGCCAGCCCAGCTCCCAGGCTGCATCACTCACCTTAATCAGCTCAATGCAGTTGGTCTTGGAGTCTGCGTGGACACAGACCAGGGGGTCTGACCTGATGTGCAAAGCCCACTCCTCACATTTGCGGAGCTCGGCATCCCCGATGCAGCACCAGCGCACCAGGCTGTTGGTGAGGGAGCTCCCTGCGGCAGCGGGAGAGGCACCCGTCAGTCAAGGCAGAAGGACCAGCTGCCCCCCCATGCCAAGCGAGCCTCCCATGCTGGGCTCCCAGGGTGCCTGGGAGCGTTCTCACCTTCATGGCCCAAGGCCTGCAGGAGAGCCACATACTCCAGGCCGAGGATGCGACTGATCTGGGCCTCCTCGGCAGTTGTCTGGAAGTGGCGAGTTGCGTCATGGAAGAGCAGGTCCTTCCCTCTGAATGGCGCAGATGCAAAGAGCTCGAACCTGACCCTCTCCTTCCCCGCTTTTCCAAAGAGGTGCTGAGCACAAGAACAAGCAGTGCCTAGTTCCACACAGCTCTGCCGACGTGTCCAACACACACCACGAAACCAACTGTTGAGAACCCACCACCAAGTTCTCCTGCCCTTTGAAAGGAACTGGAACCCCACATACAATCACAGACACAGAAGCAGAGCGAGTTGAAGGGTCTCCCAGGTCATCTAGTCTGACCCCGGCTCCAGCTGGCTCTGCTCACGACTGCCTACATGCGGCTGCCAGGCTGGGGGGCATCCTTAGGCTGGGGGCAAACGTGCAGTCGGGTGAGATGCTGCAGAGGTGCCTGCGAGGGCCAGGAGAGCTCCCTGGAAGAGCAGGTGGCACTCCCTGGCTCAGACTGGCTGGGGCTCCTTGGGGTGAGGAGAAAATACCGCACGTGCTCAGAGGGACCTTCCTGTCGGTTCATGTGCTCCAGGGCTCCATCTCGGCACCAGAGACCAGCCAGCCTCCCCAGGCTGCAGCGTGTGAGCCCAGGGGCCAGGCCTCTGCTCCACAGTTCAGTGCGTTCACGGAAAAGGGCAATTGTGCGAGGCTGGCACCCCACGGTCCTCCCAGGAGGCAGGCCTGGTGATGCCCAAGGCGTTCCTGCAGCAGCACCACGAGTCCACCATGCTGGCTCAGCCCCCATTCCCCAACAGCACCCGCTTCACCTCACGGGGGGTCCTGGACCATGACAGGAGCCAGCCTTGGTCCGGAGGTGGAGTGAGTGTGGCCAAAGAGCCTCGGCTACCTGGGGCCCCCAGGAGTCTGTGCAGGAGCTCCAGAGCAAACCAGAGCAAGCAGGCCTCCCAGGCTTCCAGGGAGCTCCTGGGCACAATCAGCTCCTTCCTGCCCCATGGTTCCGTGGAGCCACCGGGCCAAAGCCTGCAACCACTTTGAGGGCAGAGGGAGCCGAACAGCCTCTGTGCACAAGCGAGTGCACGAGCCGGCACCTCCCCCGCCCCCAGCCTTATTGTGTGCATCTGGGCTGCCGAAGGACACTGCTCAGTAACACCTCTGAGCAGCTGCACTGTCGTGGATGGATAGGGGCCATGGAGGCTATTGGGTCAGCCCCTGCCGTTGCAGGACACCACGTGACACCACCCCACTCAGAGGGCAGTCCAGTTCCTCCTTGAGTGTCTCCAGTGTGGGAGAGCCCCCCACCTCTCCAGGCAGCGGGTTCCACAGCCGAATTGTTCAGACAGTGAGGAAGCTTTTCCTGATGTCCACCCTGAATCTGCGTTGTTGCAAATCGAATCAGTTATTCCATGTCCTACACTCTGGTATCAGCAGGAAGAGATCTTGACCTTCCTCTCTGTGACAGCCTTTGAGGTACTTATAGAGGGATCTCATGTCCCCCCTCAGTCTTCTCTTCGCAAGGCTGAACATGCCCAGTTCTCTCAGTCTCTCCTCAAAGGGCCATGTTTCCAAACCCTGGATCAGTGGTGGCGAACCTATGGCACACGTGCCGCAGTGGCACGCAGAGCCCTCTCTGTCGGCATGTGAGCCAAGTCGCCCCAGCATCGCCCCAGCAGCCGAGCATTGGATAACAGTTTACACAGGGGCCATGCACATGCTCGGAAAGGAGTAGCAGCACCAGGCAATGACATCACAAGCCGCAACTCTTTAGCCGTGACACGTCCAAGCTTGGTCAGCGCACTGCCAAGGATATATTTATATTTGCTTGGTCTGGCTGTGAGTTGTTTTTTCTAAACTAAAACCTCAGTTTTTGGGTTTTATTGTAGTGCTGGCACTTTGCGATAAATAAGTGGGTTTTGGGTTACAGTTTGGGCACTTGGTCTCTAAAAGGTTCACCATCACTGCCCTGCATCATTTTTGTTGCCCTCTGCTGGACCTTTCTAATTTACCTGCATCTTTCTTAAATCTTGTTGCCCAGAACTGGACACATTATCCCAGGTGAGGTCTGACTAGTGAGGAGTATACAGGAACTGCTACTTCTCATGTTTTGGAAGTAATACTTCTGTTAATGCATCCCAAAATAGCATTTGCCCTTTTGGTAGCTGCATCGCATTGTAGGCTCATGTTTAGCCTATTGTCTACAACTACTCTGAGATCTTTTTCTTTTTCAGTTCTGTTGAGCCACATATTCCCCATCTTGTATCGATGCCTTTGGTTTCTTTCTCCTCACTTCCCTCCAGTCCAATGTTAGGAAGAAAGGAGAGAAGGGGGGAACTGAAGTGAGGAAGGGAGAGGGGCAACAGTGAGGAGTAGGGGGCACACATCGTTTGCTCCCCATCCTGACCCTCTGCAGACTCTTTCAAGTCAGAATCTTTTGCCCTGAATTCTTCTCAAATGATTCCTTCGCTCAATTATCTGCCATGATTCATGCCTTCTTGCACCACCCAGATCAGTGTTTCTTCTAAGTAATGTTCACACCCTTCCAAACACTGTGATTATATCAGCCTCTCTTTCGTAAACATGACTAAGATGCTGAGTGTTGCTGGGAAGAGGGCGCTGGGCCTGGGTGGGACGGCCTCCCAAGCCCGCCCCACAGGAACACCGGGCAGGAGCATGTGGGTTTGTCCCATGCACCTTGCTTTGCACTGGTCAGAGGGTGGCATTCTGTGCACAGAGCCCATGAGGTGGCACCCCGTTCCCAGCCCCCTGCCAGGCTCCTGGGCACGGACCCAGGCAGCAGGCGGCACCCCCGCTTCCTGGCCATGCAGGATCCTTCCCTGCAGCACAAGAGCACTTGGGAGAACTGGGGCCCTCGGACGGAACCCCGCTACTTGCCAGCAGCTGCGCTCTCCTGGCCCCGCGGTACCTGGATGGTGGCGAGGAACTTCCTGGCAACCTTCTGGAAGCTGTGGCGTGTGACAACAGCCCGTCCTGGCCCACGGCCCAGGTTGCAGGTGGCATAGGCTGGCAGGGGCGCTGTGGACCCGTCAGGACACAGCAGTTCATAGTCGTCTTCTTCGGACTCTGAGCCAGACAGAGAGGTGGCGTTCAGGGGCCGGAGCAAGAGATGGGCAGAGGGGCAGCGATCGGCCCTCCTCAGCGGCACCCCGGGCAGCTGCCCTCAGGCCCCAGGCCAAAGCCGCACCGCAGGCTCGCTGAAGGTGGCAGCATCTGGCGGGACCAGTGCACTAGCATTTGGGGCTGGGGGCAGGGCTTGGGCAGCAGAAGGTTAACGGCATCGCGGGCATTGTGTGAAGCAATGTTGCACGGAACTTCGTTTATCAAAGGAACAGCTGCCCTGTGCCCGGAAGCAGCTCCGGGAGCCTCCGGAGGGCGAGACCAGCTTGGCCAAGGCATGCTTTCCCTTTTCACCCCCCAAGTGATAGCGGATGCAGGTTACCAGGTGGCGGGGGGAGGGGAAGGTGAGAGAGAGAGTGAACAGGGGAAGCGGGGAGAAACACAAGAGACTGCAGTGCTTGAGTGGGAGCAACTGGGCCCTTTCTGCAAGACTGTTGCCTCTGTCAGGATTTGGTCCTGAAGAGTTTAAGCTGCCTGCCTCCACATGCCCTCAAATATGATAAACCGCCTCGTGTCTCCCGCAGCCCCCCTCTTGCCTTCCCAGGGAAGCTAAGCCAGAGTGTGTCCCGTGCCCCCAGGCTTCTTCCCACCACTCAGTGGAGAGAGGAACCCAGCACAGCAGGTGTGGCCACTCACCTTTCTGCACCACTAAGGCTGGACCAAGTCACTTACCTGTGGCCCTCATGATTGTGAGGTGGTCCAGGAAAGCCACATCCGCCACTCCGCTTTTCAAGCACCTGAACAGGTGGAAACTGCGTCAGCATGAAGGGCTCAGCCCCCCAGTCTGAAGGAGCAGGGCAGGGCAGGGCAGGGCAGGGCCACCTGAAGGCTCCCTCTGAGCCGTGAAAAGGTTCGCTGCTGCTGGCCTCGCAGAAGTGGTTCTTGTCCTGGACGTAGGATTTCTGTCCTTGGCAGAGAGCGCACAGCCGAGGGGCAGCAGCGCCGGCGCCAGGGATGCAGCTGGCATTGAAGTAACTGCTGAGCACTGCGGGATGAAGGGGAGAAGGCGCTGGGCCAGGTGGCGAGGGCCCTCCTCTCTCCCCAGGAACGCAGAGCAACGGCCCATCAGCCAGTGTGTGCTCCCTTGGAATGGTTTCACTCGCTTCCCTGGGACTTACTCCTTGGTAAATGTGCGCGGGATGCAGCCTTACCGTGCGTTTCCCTGCATGCCCATTCAGAAGTCCGTTCTGTTAGCTCAGTTGTACTTACTCCCAGATGCACATAGGATTGTGGCCCTAGGCAATATAGAATCTGAAACTCTATAGGATCTGGTACAATCTCTTCTCATGTCACATTTTGTGGAAAATACATTATAAGAATACTTAAACTGTATCTGTGTCCCCTGTGGATACAACACGTAAACACAGAGGTAGGAAAGTCAGGTTCTTCTACCGCCCTTTTTGTGCGGGCACCGTGCCCTGTGAAATGCGCCCAAGTGCAGCAGGCCGTGCCGAGAGGGTGCGCCCTGCTCTGTCCGGAGGCGCGAGCTGAAGGCCCGGCACGACACGGCTCGGCCGCGCCCCTTCTGCAGAGCCGCACTCTGCCTCTCCGCCCTCCCACAGGACCTCCCTGCGCTACTGCCCACTCACCATGGTGGACAGGGCGGTTGCCACCCCACATCAGCGGGTTGCTGGCCAGAAGGAAGCCCAGCGGGAGGTTCCAGCCTGAGGTCCACCGGGCTCCGTTATGGCAGCTACGGGTTCCCTTTAGGCTGTGGATGTCCAGCGTTCCCCTTCTGGCCACGGCGACAGCGAATACGCAGCTACCTGGGAAGCAGGCCGGGGAAGGAGGAGGAGGAGAAGCAGGAGTCGCTTTAGTAAGTACACTGCGAGACCTGTGTGAACAGAAGCATTTTGGAGCGGGCAAAGGAAAAATTCTTTCAACGTCCAAAGCTTTGTCACCCCCATGTTATTTAAGAGGCACAGAGAATGGGAAAATCTGTATTTCTGAGTCCGGTTGTGGTTCGGCGCCGATGGTTGCTCATCCCCCGTGGGGGTCTCTGCAGGCCCCGCAGAGAGGCCCTGCTCCTGCCTGCGCCAGCCAACCAGCTCGGGCGGACAAGGCCTTTGCGAAGCACACAGGCCTTTCAGACCAAATCACCTCAGAAGACTCTACATCACAGCACAATGTATCCCTGCGGGAGAAATTCATTTCCCTCCAGTATGGTGGGAACCGGGACTTCTGCGGGGGGGGGGGGGGGGCATCGCCACAATCACGGCATGCAAGCAGGGCATCCCTGCGGGCCCTGCCCCACTGTGCCACAGGCTGGACGTGCCTGTCAGAGGGGGCACACTTTGGATGGGAAGTTAACAGCCAGGCTGGGCCCACTCATTGTGCCAGAGGCCTGGCCAGGCATGTGGCTCCCAGATCAAGGAAGGGGTTGATTCTGCTCTGCATGACTCTGGTGTGCCGACAACTAGAGTACGGCATCCAGTCCTGGGATCCACATTGTAGGAGGGCCGTGACCTGTCCTCCCCTGCAGTGGAGGGCAGGGCGTGTTCCAATGGGGCAAAGTTGAAGGAGCCAGGCTTCAGGGTGGATGCCAGGAAGTGCTTCCTGACGGATAGGACCCCTTGCATATGAAATGGGCTTCCACAGGAGGTGGTGGGGGCCCCATCAGTGAGGGCATTCACGGACAAACTGGACAACCACGTGTTGGTGATTACATGAATGGAGCTGGCTGGAGCCAGGGGGTCAGACTAGATGGCCTGGGAGACCCCTTCTGTTTCTCTGTATGTTTCTAATTCCCCCAGCCTCATCATGTTATACAACTCTGGTTACATGCTGCAGGGGCATTGGTTTTAAATGCTTGTCCATTGTCTTCTGCCCAAGGGATCTCGGAGGCTGCCGTCTGGTGAGGATACTGAAATAGCTATCCAGAGAGCCAGTGTGGTTTTGGAGTTAAGAGCATGGGACTGGGACTCAGGCGTTCTAGTCCCCTTCAGCCATGGAGCCAACTGGGTGACTTTGGGCCAGTCACAGACTCTCAGTCCAACCTACCTCACAGGGTTGTTGTTGCGGGGATAAGATGGAGGAGGAGATGTAAGCTGCCTTGAGCCCCTTGTAGGAAAAAGGCAGGATACAAATCGATAAATAAATACATAAAATCTCCCCTCAGTCTTCTCTTCTCCAGGCTAAATGCACTCAGTTCTTTCCATCTCTCTTCTCAGGGCAGTTTCCAGGCCCCAGGTCATCCTTGTTACCCTCCTCTGAACCATTTCCAGCTTGCTTACTTATTTATATAACTGAAGGCTTTTCTATACCATTATTTACGCCAAAGAATATCAAGACCATTTATAAAAGTTGAAAGCAACGAAGCAGTTAAAAGGAAACACCGGGTGCCGCTTCACGGAGGGCATGGGCAGCAAGCCTCCCCTCTCTGGACAAGAGGCCTGGTGGGTGCGCTTCCAGGTGGGGCGCTTGGCTCTGGCCCCAGGACCTGTGAGCAGGGCAACTGCCGCGTGAAGTCACACCTGGGAATGCTGTGGCCCTCCTCTGGCACGTGCTCCCTGGGGTTCATCCTTAAACTATGCTTGGCCCACTTGGGGACCATGCTGGAGCTAAGAGTTGGCCTCCCACCCCCCACCCCTGCGTTTCCACAGGCCCCCTTCAGTGGGGGCCCCGGGAACTGACCCTCTGGGTAGACCTCCTTTGCCACCACGCTCAGGCCATGAAGCTGCACGGCAGAGTACACATCTCCAGCATCCAAGGAGGCAGCATCCGCTTTGTTCACCTGGAAATACGGGCAGAGGGCAAGGCTGTCAGCTGCTGAGTTCGTTATGCCACGTTCCATTCCTGCGCCACTCGCCAGGGCAGCTCCCTGGGCAGCTGTGGGACTGCAGTCGCTCCGGTCCGGCAGCCTCCTCCGGGCGGGCGGGCGTCCTGCTTCCTCTCACGCACCCTCTCATCTGGTTTGGGCGGAGACAGGATCTAAGAGCAGTGTAGCAACTTGAGCGCCGCAATCCCTCCGGCAACTCTTGAGCAACCTCGCAAGCACAGCGCAACAGTCGCTGCGCCTCCGCCCGGAGCAGGAGTCCAGTCACGCGAGGAAGCCCCGGCTGCTGCCACCCAGCTGCGCACCGCCGCCTGCTCGTGCCCCTGCCCGAGGGTGTGCTGGACCACTGCCGGCAGGGTGGACGCTGCTGGCGCCCAAGCACACGGGGCTACACGAAAAGCGGCGGCGCTGCAGGGCCGCCAGGCCTGTGGGGGCGCTTCTCCAGGCACCGGAGCGCGCCTCCTCCCGGCGGAGCCGCTGTGGGCAGCCTCGAGGGGCACAAGCACGTCGGGCACCAACATTGCGCTTGTGGCGTCATCGCAGTCACATTGCTCAAATGAGTTTTGCTTTTGAGCAGGGAGCTTTTGCCTCCGAAGAGTGATAAACTGTCCTTTGTTGCGATTCCCATCCTCAGAAAGAATATGGCAAACAAAACAACAAGATTTGTGCTTTCTGTTTCTGCAAAACAAGAGACTTTGTTCTCTTATTTATTCATGTGCAACAGAAGCCAGCTTGAAGCTGCTGTTTGCTGCCTCCAGAGACGCTTTGCTCTTTAAATCCATCTTTTCTGAAATGGAAGGAATGTCTTTTCCAAGCTCGCTCAACATCAACAACAGAACAATTCTGGTTTTACAGTTCTGATGTTGATGAGTCAACAGCTTTACTCTGGTGGGAAGTTTCCCGGGGATTGGGTCCAGTAGGCCAGATCTGCCTGCCTTCCGTCTTCCCTTTGCCATGCTGGAAAACTGCCACTTCAGGCAGAGACCTCCCATTCGCCAGGCAGAGCTGCCCTGGAGTGTTGGAAGAGCAGCGTGATGGCGGAAAGGCAGGGGCAGAATCAGTGGCGAGACGGCGCCCCAAGAGACTCAGGGGCAGGGACACTAGCCCAGCTGCATGCAAATGCCATCCTCTCCTACGCCATGCATGTTTACCCACCAGACTCAGGCGGCCTTGCCTTCCCATTCTCCATTGCAGGCTTGCCTGGGTAGGTGCAGTGTCAAAGGATCAGGTCCAGTTGACATAACAGCTTACCCCGATCCATGAATGGCAAAGGACTTATCCCCCCTTTGGCAAGGCGCACTGAACAAAAGAACGTGTGGTTTGGAAAATCTCCGAGATGTTCAGGAACTCACTCGGATCTTGTTGATACAGTCGTTTGCGTTGCGTGCGCTGATGCAGGAGACCCGGGCGAAGGCACTGACTGCAGCGGGGGGCAGCACGGCCACGAGCGCTCGGGACAGTTCTGAGCACTTCCTCTGCTCCAGATCGGAAAGTGTGCACCATCGGAACTTCTTGCCTGCAGGAACGGAAGGCAGAGCAGGAGCCGTGTCAACGGCACAGGGCCGGCTCAAACCAGGGGTTCTTCCACCCCGCTCTTCCTTCAGATCCTTCCTCCAGGCTCACTGTCTGCGAAGGCCTTCGCACACCACTCTGCCTGTCCCCACCTGGCCCCCCACCTGAGGCACAAGAAGCCCCCGGCCTGCTTGTAGTGCTTGGTGGCACGCGAGCAGCTCTGAGGCTGAGCTGTGGGCCTGGCTGCCTCTGCGTAAGCACTCCCCACCAGCCTCCCCCTTCTTCCCCTCAGCTCGTGTGCGCCTTCCCTTCCCTTCCCTTCCCTTCCGCTCCTCACCATGTGCAAATTCGACCTGACGGGTTGGCGTTCTCCCACTGCAGCAATGCAAGGCATACGTGGTACAAACAATAATACAGAGGCATGTTCTGGTGCTGGCAATGAGCCCGGCATAGAAATATAGACACAGACAGTATTTAAAGCACTAAAGTAGCGCAGAAGACTTCTGGCACAGTGGAATATTGCTGGTGGAGAAGAGGTTATCAGTCCTTCTTGCTGGTGTTGACCATTGCAACAAACATGGCAAGCTTCTGGGTCACACAGTCCATTTTTCAGGCACAGGCTGCTTTTCGCTACCCTTACCTGTAGACAGAGGAGCAAGAGTGGCCAGGAGAAGCAGGGCAGCTGGCAACGCCTTCATGGCTGCAGATCCACAGCCTCAGTCTTGCGTGCTTCTATGTGGGAGCCTCCATCTTGCCTCATACCAGGGATTCCAGAGAAATGACTGAAGCGGCCTTAAAATGTGGTGGTTGGGTGGGAAGACGGAAAGGGGTGGTGCAGAAGCATCTGGAAGCCAGATCAATGGGTGGGGAAAGAGGGCCCCCCCCGGGCTCACATGGACGTACTGGGGGAGGAGGGCTGTCATGCTAGGCTTGGCCTGCGTCTTGGAAAGACAGAACAAATAAAAGGGCTACAGCATCGTCTTTCTTCTTTCCTCACACATTCCAATTAGACAGAACTCTGTGACCTTAAAAAGCAAACCACACATTGCATTCAGCAGAAGCCCGTGCTCGACTGGATTTCAAATCCTCCCTTTAAAGATGTTTCTTAAGGAGTTCTGTAGCCCTCCACCTACATTACAACCGAATGCTCACGGTGCCCCCATATTTCAGCTGGAAGGGCCTTGCCCACTGAGTGCACAGCTGCAGTGAGGGGGCAGCCTGGCCTGAGAGGGGGCGGGAGGAGGAAGGCGAGGTCACGGACCGTGGGCGAGGCACGGGCACAGCCCCTGCCAACTATGACTGCATGGGATGGGCCTCCCTGCTGACCTGGGGGTGGGGGTGTCTCCAGATGCTGCACTCACACATTTCTAAAAGCTGTGAGCAATTTGTGGCAGCGGGGCACGGGGGAGGTGTGCACACAGGCCAGCTGGTCCTCATCCTAACATCCTAAAGGGTGCCCCCAATCTACTTACCCAGGGGCAACCTGCGAGGCGTGAAAAATCGGCTGGATGGTACTGGACCAGAGTAAATGGGGCCTGCATCCAGGACCTGCATTGGCTGACTTAGTACAACATGGATACTTTTTCTCGGTCCTTGAGCTGAATTCAGTTTTGGAGAATTTCTTGAGGGCCACATTCTAGTGGTGGCCAGCAGGCCAGATGCAGCCTCTCTTGCCACCTGTGGCAAAGAACGTGTCCCATGGTAGAGCCCCTCCTCCCCGCCAGGCAACCCTCCCTCCTTGCCGCCGCCAGCCCCAGACTGGCGTGCCTTCGGCCTTGGCGTTGCTGCAGTGGCAGGCGGGGAGAACTGTGTGGTGGCAGCAGCAGGGAGCTCCGATCAATTGCGTGGCTGCGGGCTCTTGCGAGGTGCTGGCCATGTGCCGAGATCTTATGAAAGTCCCCAGGCCCGGCAGCAACAGCCCTGCCTGTTCTGAAAGCTCCCCCAGTGCTTCCTTGCTGTGGCAGATGCCCCCATGAATGGGGCTAGCCAGACTCCATGAGCGGGTGGTTGCATCCGCAGCTCTACCCACGCATGCAGGCAGCCTCGCGGAGCTGGCCCTTGGTGGGGGGGGCGGGCAATGACAAGAGGAAAGGTGCCAGAAATCCCGACAACACCCAGTGTGGTTCTGCTTACAGCGCAAACCATAAGAAACCCAGCCTCAAGGGAGACATTTCAGTCTGGGGGAACAATATAGAATCCGAAGAGCGTAAGAAAAATGGGGCACTGCTACCTGGAAAGCCTTAGCAGGCCGGGTGTGATTCACTCAGGGGGTGAACTTGGTGGGTGGGAAGAGCAGGGCTCATCAGTTCTCCTGGAACTCTTGGCAGTGTGGGGCGCCATCAAACACGGTGTCCTTCAGGACTATCGTGGGCCTTGTGGTTTTGCAGCGGCTGCACAGGAGCTGGAAGAGGGCTGTGAAACTCCACACACATGGGTCCCTCACATACAGTATCTGCGTGAATGCACATTTTGGGCTTTGGAGTAAGGTGCCTCCAGTATAACAATGATACACAACACTACCGCTCTTTGTCAGTGGATAGCATGGAAGCAGTTGAAACCTTTGAACCTTCCTGGCTTCTGTAAAGGGCAGGATGAGGACAAACAAGTGTTATTGTTGGTCAGTAGAAAGCCTGACCTGGGTAGAAGGAATCAACCTATGTGGAAGGGGTTGTGCCCCCCTGAGGGATCAGGTCCATAGCTTGGAAGTGCTCTCAGATCCCTCACCATCCCTGGATCCTCAGGTGGCCATGGTGGCATGGAACACATTTACACAACCACGGTACAGCAGTGACCCTTCCCGAGGTGGCCCGACTTGGCAACATTTATGCAGCTCTGGTTGCGTCATATGTAGAGTCTGCAGTGTGCTCTAATGAGGGGCTGTCCCTGAAGAGGGCCCAGAAGCCTTGACTGGAGCAACACGCAGCAGCTGGACCCACATCACACCTGCATCGAGGTGAGCTATTATCTACCAGGACTGATGCACGAAGAATCACACTGCTGGCCCAAAAAGAGTGGATCTGAATGTGAGCCCAAACTCCCTCCAATAGTCAGCCAGCGGTGCAGGGCTACTGGGCATGCTCAGCCACAGTTGTGCTCCCCCCCAATAAGGGATCTCCCCTTCTTTTTATATTTCAGCAGACCTTGTACTGTTACCTTTCTCTTCTGTGCAATTGGTGCCACTCTGATTACATGGTGAAAGTATACGTGATTAACATGTACTTAATCACCTCCTAGCACCACTCTGTATTTATATGGGTATATTTATATTGTATTTTATTCTATTGTGTTCCATGGTTTTAGTTATTATTGTTATCTGTATTTTAATGAGCCGCCCAGAGAGCCTCTGGCTATGGGGTAGCATACAAATGCCATCAATAAATAAACACACACCTTGAATGCCATTGGTGCAGGAGAGCCCACCACCTCCCTCAGTGATTGGTTCCATTGTCATATCGTTCCAACAGTCGGGAAGTTCTTCCTAACATCTAGCTGGAATCTGGCTTCCTGTTACTTGAGGCTGCTCTTCCATGTCTGGGATGATCGAGAAGAGATACTGGACTTCCTCTGTGCAACTTTTCAAATACCGAAGGGTGCTATCAAATCATTGCTCAGTTTTCTCTTCTGAAGGCCAAACAAGCCCAGTTCTTTCACTCTCTCTTCACAGGGCTTTGTTTCCAGTCCCTGGATCATCTTTGCTGCCCTCCTCTGGACCATTTCCAGCTTCCCTGCATCTTCCTTAAACTGCGGTGCTCAAAACTGGACACAGCACTCCAGATGAGGCCTAACCAGTGCTGAGTAAAGGGGAAGTAGTACCTCACAGAATTTGGAGCTGATAGGTCAATTAATGAAGCAATTGCTTTTTTTTGCAAGCACATCACATTATTGACTCATTTTCTGCCTGTGATCTACAACCATTCCAAAATCCTTCTCACTTGCCATATTGTTGAACCAAGGTTTCCCCTTCTCAGAACTGTGCATTTAGTGCCTTTTCCCTAGGTGCAAATTTTGGCATTTGGCCCTACTGAATTTCATTCTGTGACTTTCAGCCCAGCACGCCCACCTATCAAGGTCACCCCAAACCTTGTTTCTGTCTTCCAGGGTATTAGCTGCCCCACCCAGTTTTTTGTCATCTGCAAATCTGGTAAGTATTCCCTGCACTTTCCTTATACAAATCATTAATAAAAATGTTGACGACTGCTGGGATCAGGATTTAATAATGCAGTATCCCAGTTGCTTCCTGTTTCCAGTTTGAGAAGGTAGCGCTGATGAGTACTTTTTCAGTCTGATTTTGTTGCCAACTGTGAATTCATCTCATTGTTGTTCCATCTAGCTCACTTTTAGCTAGTGTGCTAATCAGGAGATCATGGGGCACTTTCAAAAGCTTTGCTAAAGTCAAGATAGATTATGTCCACAGTATTCCCACAGTCCAACAGGGAGGTTACCAAACAAAAAATGAAATCAGACTAGTCCGGTAGGATTGTTCGAGTAATCACTGCACTGTTTCCAAGGTGTGTCCAGACTGACTGCTTTATCATCTGCTAAAGAATTTCCCCAGGAATTGATGTCAGACTGACTGATCTGTAGTTCCTGAGTTCATCTTTTTTCTTTCTTGAATTCGGGAACATTAGCCCTTCTCCAGTCATCTGGCACTTTCCTTGTCCTCCATGATTTCTCAACAAGAATAGACAGTGATTCTGAAAGTTCTTCCACTAGTTCCTTTCTGGAACTAGGATGGAGTTCATTGGGCCCTGAAAACTTGAACACATTCAACCCAATTAGATGACCCTTTTTCCTTGTTAGAATTGTTTGCAATTGTGCCTTTAGAATTTTTCCTTTAAAAAAAATCTCACCTCTCTTGGACTCCTTTTCTCATTAGAATCACTTGCCATGGGACTTTGATTATCATTGTTGAGTCTATTAATCTAAAATCCAGGGTTCATAATTGGAAGTCATCAGTAACACAAGTTAGGAATCTCTTGAAGGTACCATGTTTGGCAGAATTTATCTCCCAAAGGATATTGAGGAAACTGAAGTCCCCCATAGCAACAGCATCATGCCTCCTTGAAAAACCAGCAATTTTCTTTTCAGAAGAGTAATCCTCATCATCTCCTTGACTGGGTGGTTGATAACAAACTCCAGTGACTGTGTTCTTTTTATCCCTTCTTTCATTTCTATTAATCCAGGTGCATTAATGCATCCACCTGTATTTCTGTGCAGATATGTCTCTTACAGTGTGGCTCCACCTCCCTTTCTGTTCCTTGTGTTTTTCTTGAACAGGTTCTGTCCTTCAACTGTTGAATGCCAGACATGGGGGTCATCCTACCAAATTTCAACTATACCTTTCTGGTCATATTTGCCCTCCTGTTCTCAAGTTCAAGGTCATGCTGTTTGTTTCCCATTCTCTGGGCATTACTATACACACTGAGGGCCACATGATTTATATTACAAGAGGAAGTTAGTAGCCCAATTGAAAGCATCTGGCTAAATTTAAAAGGACCAAAAAACAAGAAAAACATAGTTATTGGCATATATTACCATCCACCCAGTCAAAAAGAGGACAAGGATGCAACCTTTGAAAAGCAACTTGCCAGCATTTCAAATACTGTAGATATACAAAAGGGTACAAGACAAGGATGCCCACTATCACCACTGTTGTTTATATTGATCTTAGAAGTGTTAAACAGAAATATCAGGGATGATATGGACATTAAAGGTACTAGAATCAGAGACGAAAGCTATAAATTGCAAGCATTCGCAGATG